CTGTTTGTCCCTTAGTTGGAAATGTGGCTTCAGCTTTAAAGTAACCAGAGCAGTGTGCTGCTACAGGGCCTGGAAACTTCAAACCTACTTCTGAAACATGACTGTGATGCTCTGGCATGAAGTGGTGATGAAGTGGCCAGTGCTGATGATTTAAGTGGGACCTAAAGGTGGAAGAAGAATCAAGTCCTCCCATAGATTACAGACACTTTAGGAGGTTATTTTGAATTACTGGAAAGTTAAAACTACATAGATATAAAAGATGGAGCATTAAAACACAAAGAAGAGCATAGTTTATTGCTGTATTACTAGTTTATCAGTGTTATTTTACATCTCTTTAAAACTATTATTGTTAATGGTATAACCAAAGCTTCATGTTTTTTTTTTTTAATTACTCCCTCCTGAGTGGATTGTCATTTCAAAGGTTTTAAACAGCTGCCAACATTTTAATATTATATTCTCATCACATGATTAACTGTCGGTATATTCCTTGTAGAGGAAAAAAGTTTACTTCAGCTGAGCATTCATTACCTTCACTTTAGGCAGTTTCAATAAGAAAGGAAATAGAAAGGAGTTGGCAAGCATGTGGATTTCTTGCCTTATGTAAGCTGGCTTACATCCCACCTCCTGTGGGTAGAGCAGAAAATGGAAGGGCAAGAAATGATGGTGCTAAACTCCTACCCATGGCTCCAGATGGAAAGAATTAGGAATCCATCATGTGTGTAAACCAGTGAAAGAAATGAATACTTGCTCTAAGGACACAATGCTTGCCCTTCCTGCTCGGTGCCTCTGATGGCTCACACATCTTAAATCACCAAATGCTCTTCAAGAAAGAGGAGCAGTTTATCTTGACCAAAGCACTTGGATAGACTCATGCAGACTTCATGGTCAATAAATGAGGCCTAGGACCAGGCTATGGTTCAGAATTTCAACTCCAGGAGGTGGGAGACTATCAAGGTGTAGTCCTAGATGTGCACAAGATCCTGTGGGATTCAGGAAGCCACAAGGAATATGTTCTATGAATTAAATCCTTCAGGCCCCTTCTTCCAAGACAGGGTGTCCTACATGACAGGGATCTTGGCCTAAGCATGAAAAAAATTTTTTAATTAGTATTTTTTTAAAATGTGTTTTATTTTTTTCCCTTCATATTTTATTAAATTTCTAAATGGTTGACGTAAACATTATTTTCAATGCTTTTTCTTTATCTGGAAAGAAAAGAAATTTTGGAAATGGGAAGGCTTTGAAGAACACAGAAGGAAGTGTTGTCTTTCTTGTGCAATCTTCCCAATCCCTTAATTTTCACTGACAAAGAAGAGCAGAGGAATGTTCCAAGTAGAGTAAACTATAGATGCAAAGAAACAACATGCATAACATGGAAAGAAAAAAGGGAGCTTGAAAACTTAGGGGACAAACTGTGAAAGCTCTTGAATGCCATAATAGTTGGAATTTGGACTTTGTTCCATGGGCAATAAGGAGCCCTCAAAGCCTTCATAAGATGAGAGCTACAATCGTATTTATCCTTTGATTAACTGACTTTGAATCAATGTGGACAATAGGTTGGGAAGGAGTCCAGAATATCAGGTAGGAGGTAGTTGAAATCATCCAGGAGAGAGGATGATGACCCAAATTAAGGCAGTTTGGTATAAGTAGGCCATATCGGAAAACTTACCATTGAAGAAAGTATTTATGAGCATTATTATATCGTTACCAAGGAGGATTCTTGACCTCCTTAATCAGTAGAAATTGATCAGAGGCCAGACAAGAAATTCAGGCAAGACTTTAATGGGGCCCCTGCTGCAGCAGAGGGGAGTGAGAGGACAAACAACCCTTGCTAGCTCGCTCCCTGAGGTGAGGGTGAGATTATTCCTTGTATGGGGTAAGGGTAGTAGTATGTCTAGGGGTGGCTTAGGTGGTCTGCCCCCCATCAGGTGGTATTGTGTACAAGGGGCATGCACAGTAGACTGCTTTTGTTCCAGGCTTTTCAAAAGTGGCATTTGGGCTTTCTGGTCTCTTTCTATCTTTTGTCCAGAATTTGCCCCAATTGTGCAAGCATGCAGTTATTTTTAGTCCCATATGATTTCTTTGTATTTTGTTGCTCGAGGAGAGGTGTGTCCAGGTGCAAGCATTGCAGCACTGCTGCAAAGGGTCCCAGGTCACACCTTGTCTCAATGTGAAAGGCAAAAAGATAACCGGGATAAAAATAATGCCCTAAATGATGCGCCTGAGACAAAAGTTTCATTAATCAAGAGGAAATTCATTGCAGGAGAGAAATTAAGTGTGTTTTATGTTAGAAATGTTGAATTTGAAGTGTCCTGATAACATCCAAATGAAGGTGTCTAGACAGCTAAAATCTTGGAATTGGGGTTCAGTTGGTAAACAATCTACCTGCAATGCAGGAGACACCAGTTGGATCCCTGGGCTGGGAAGATCCTCTGGAGAAGGGAAGGGCTACCCATTCTAATATTCTTCCATGGAGAATTCCATGGAGAGAGGAGCCGGCAGGCTACTGTCCATGGCTTTCACTTTCACTTTCAAACAGGTTGCGTCTATAGGATGAATATTTGCAAGTCATCAGTATAGTCAAGTTAGGAGAAATTTCTCAAGTAGATGAGGTTGCTGATAAGGAGAGAGTCTAGCAAGGAAGAGATGGCCCAGGACAGAACCCTGTAGTGGAGAAGTTACCAGGGAGACTGAGAAGGTGGCATCTGAGAAAGGACCACAATGCAGAATCTAAGGAAATCAATTCAAGAAGCAGCAGTTGTTTAGAAAGAACATTTAAAGGAAACATTTTGGCCATAAGGAGATTTGGGCCATACAAAAGTCACTAGTGGCCTTTAGAGAAGGCAGCTGCCCAAAAACAAGAGGCCAGAATGAGGTCCTAGTTATTGAGGCATGACAGTAGGCAAGGAATTATACTGGAACAAAAAAATTGCTCTTGGGAGATTTTATTGTGAAGGAAAGAAAGGGAATGTAGTTTGGCAGAAGAAATTGCTATTTGCTTGGTTCATTAGTTTGCAAGCACTTTTACATCTGTTAGCTTACTTGAGTCCCAGGACAACTTAGAAAGTAGGAAGGGCAAGTACTGATATGCCTGGGAAAAGGAGGTCAAAAAGAGGTGAAAAGGCTTTGCCAAGGTCATCTATAGCCAATTCATGGGAGAACTGAGTTTAAAATTCAGGTTATTTGGCCTATAATCCAATCATCTTTCCACTGTGCCCAAACAGAGCATTTCTAAAGTGTTTGCTCTGTTTGGGTACTGCCTATGAGAAGGACTGAGCTCCTTGTTACAGGGGTTTTAATCTTATCTAAAGGAATGTGTGGAGCCACTGGAAGGTTTTGTGCAAGGGAAGCCCATTTTTAAGTCAATGCCTGAGGGAGATGAACCTGGCAGGGAGGTTTAGCATGTCTCAGTAGAACAAACACTTCGGGGTAGACCATTAGGATGGTGCTTCAAACTGGGACACAGCTCAAACAAACATTGAATGATAGGCTGAGAAAGTGACTTTCCATTCAGTTTTATGGAGCTTCTTCTGACTGTGTTAAGGAGAGGGTCTCAGCTGGCCGGTATCTTTTTTAAAAAATAATTTACAAAGCTCATTTATTTTCGGCTGCACTAGGTCTTCATCGCTGCACAGGCTTTTCTCCAGTTGCCGCAAGCAGGAGCTGCTCTCTGGATGCTATGCACGGGCTTCTCATTGTGGTGGCTGCCCTGGTTGCGGAGCACAGCCTCCAGGGTGCTTGGGCTTCAGCAGTCGTGGCTCCCAGGCTCTAGAGCACAGGATAAAGAGTTGTGGCACACGGGCTGCATTGCTCCGCAGCACATGGGATCTTCAAACAGTGTCTCCAGCATTGGCAGCCGGATTCTTGACCACTGAGCCACCAGGGAAGCCCTATTAAGTCCATTTTAAGACAAGTGGTGCACAGGTATGGAAAAGAAGTGCTATGAATGTGCATTCTAATGATGATAAAGTTTGGGAACTTATGAAAACAGACTCCTAGACATATAGAGAACAGACTTGTGCTTACCAAAGGGGAGCCAGGGAGGGAGGCAGATGGACTAGGAGTTTGGGGGTTGGTAGATGTAAACTATTTCATTTAGAATGGATAAACAACAATGTCCTATTGTATAGCACAGGGAACTGTCTATATTCAATATCCTGTGATCAACCACAGTGGAAATGAATATTAAAAAAAGAAAGTATAAAAGTATGTGTAGGCTGCTACAAGTCTTGTTATAAATAATTTTGGACATAGTATTAAAAGAATAGGAGTAATGAGAATTTAGTCCAGGGTAAGATGATGGCAGTGGAGACAAAGAAGACTCTGATAGACATTTTAATGAAGTCAAAGGACAGGACAGTTATCTATGTGGGGTATTTTCTGCCTCATTTCTCAGGATGCTTATGATTGTAAAATTAAAAAGACTTGTGTAGTCTATTGGATTTATTTTCTTGTATAATAAGGAGCCCGAAGGTAAGGTGGCTCCAGGACAGGGTAAGTCAGTGGCCTGTTGACATCACTAAGAATTCAGCTTCTCTCTACCTTCCAACCTCAGCAAATAAGCTTTGTTCTCAAGGCTACAAAGTGACTGTTGTGGTTGGAGCCATCCTACCCTGATATCTGATGCTTTGGTGCAAGAAGACATCTCTTCCGAAGATGAAGAGCAGAGGATGAAGAAACATTTCTCCAAAGGCGCCTCCACCAGAAGATTTTCCTGGAGGAATCATGTCACATATCAGGTATAAACACCACAGAGGGGAGTCAAGTTACCATAACTAACCCAGATTAATTAGGATTTATTCTCTGAGCTAGGGAGTCAGATCCTTTCCAGCAGGATGGCTTTCTCAAGGTAATAGGGGATAATAGGGACTCTGCTAACAAACATGGTTGGTAGGCAGTCAACCACTGACAACCAAGACCAGTGGTTTTAGAATTTCTCAAATTAACTCCTGAAATTAAGTGGGGAGTTCTTTAGGCTTGTGGTGTTTTTATTCTTAAAAATTTTATTTAGCTCTTCTCTTCATGTGTTGAATTAAGGCAGAGCGAAACACTTCCACTGCAAAATCAGCTTCTGGTTTAGTGATGCACATTGAGGGCGCAATGCGGAAAGTCTGAGGAGACAAAGGAAAAATAGAGCAAAGGGTCATCATAGAATGAACTATGATTTCAAGGAAATGCACTAGACTGAGAATCCAACATCTTGCTTTCATAACAGTCCTTATATTTCCCTCAAGGGTTGGTCTCCTCCTGACCCGGTGCTGTATCCAGGCCATCCATCCTCTAGTCTCAACAATTCTGGTACCATCTTCTCTGCCTCTTTTCATTTTTGTCATCTGCTGACCTCCTGGCCCTTGCACAACTTCCACTGAGATCTTAGGCCTCTATCCACCCTCCAATTCTGCCACCACCGAGGTTGACTTCTGTGTCCCTGTGTACAATCCAACAAACTAGCATCTCCATTTCTTTCTTTTTCTTTTTTTTAAAATTTTACTTATTTAGCTGTGCTGGGTCTTAGTTGCAGCATGTAGGGTCTAATTCCTTGACCAGGAATTGAACCTGGGCCCCCTGCATTAGGAGCATGGAGTCTTAACCACTGGACCACCAGGGAAGTCCCATTTCTCAGTTTCTTGATGGCCACATCTTCCAGAAACTTCATCTATGATCCTCCTCCACATTCCTGCACATCCCAGGCCAGCCCCACAAGCCTCATCTTCACTAGGAAATCTTCAATTTCTGCTTCCCACTGCCTCTGCCTTTCTCACGGAAACTTCAGCAGTCTCCTCATGCCTCCATGATCTGTGGATCTGTCACTCTGCTGAGATCTCTGCCTCCCCTTCTTACCCAGCTTGGAGCACAGGATTAAGGATATGAGCCACTCTCTCACCTGCCCCCTTCTGCCCTTCTGCTGCTATACCCACACAGCAAAGTCCCAGCCCTGATCAGAGCTATCACAGAACTTTGGCTCCAACAGACAGCTGAGAAGCGGTAAAGAAACTCAAACCGCTGGTGGACTGACATACCAAGTAAAGCAGAGTCCTGCTTCTGCAGGTGCCCTGAGTGTTCAGGGCCTCTGTCATCCCTGGCTCAACTCCTACACCCCTTACTCTATTTCACAGACAGTCTTGACTCATGCTTCTCAGACGCTGTCAGGCAAGAAGGCTCTGTAAATTTCCTCGCTCCCACACACATTCTTATATTCTTGCCTGCAGGTTCAGAGAATGAGCTGTCTCTTAGTATTCGACTCCAAATTTTCCACCTGTGCCTTTGGCCCATGAAACACCATTCACCTCCCCTCCAGGAAACATCTCTGCATTCACTTGCATCTTTACCTCCTCCTCAACTTCCCCTCAGCCTATAAATAAGCTGCCTTAAAGCTCTTGTAAATCAAATCCAAGTCACGCATGCATGCATGCATGCAAGCCAAGTCTCTTCAGTCATGTCTGACTCTTTGCGACCCTATGGACTGTAGCCTGTTAGGTTCCCCGATCCATGGAATTCTCCAGGCAACAGTTGTTGTTGTTGTTGTTGTTTGGTCGCCCAGTTGTGTCCGACTGTTTCCAACCCCATGGACTGCAGCAAGCCAGGCCTCTATGTCCCTCACCATCTCCCAGAGTCTGCCCAAGTTCATGTTCATTGCATCAGTGATGCTGTCCAGCCATCTCATCCTCTGATGCCCTTCTCCTTCTAAACAACAGGGATTTTTCCAATGAGTCATCTGTTCGAATCAGATGACCAAAATACTGGAGCTTCAGCTTCAGCATCAGTCCCTCCAATGAATATTCAGGGTTGATCTCCCTTAAGAGTGACTAGTTTGATCTCTTTGCTGTCCAAGGGACTTTCAGGCGTCTTCTCCAGCACCACAGTTTGAAGGCATCAATTCTTTGGCATTCTGCCTTCTTTATGGTCCAGCTCTCACAATGGTATGTGACCACTGGAAAGACCATAGCCTTGACTATATGGACCTTTGTTGACAGAGTAATGTCTCTCAACATACTAGGGTCTGTCATCACTTTCCTGTCAAGAAGCAATTGTCTTCTGATTTCATGGCTGCAGTCACTGTTCTCTGTGATTTTGGAGTCAAAAAAGAGGAAATCTGTCACTACTTCCACCTTTTCCCCTTCTATTTGCCATGCAGTAATGAGGCCAAATGCCACTATCTAAAGTTTTAAAAAAATATTTAGTCTAAAGCTGGCTCTTTCATGCTCCTCCTTCACTCTCATCAAGATGTTCTTTAGTTCCTCTTCGCCTTCTAACATTAGAGTGGTATTATTTGCATATCTGAGGTTGTTGATATTTCTCCCACCTATTCTGATTTCCAGCTTGTAACTCATCCAGCCCAGCATTTCTCCTGATGCACTCAGCATACAGATTAAATAAACAGGGTGACAGCAGACAGTTGTGTCGTACCCCTTTCTCAATCTTGAAACAAGCAGTTGTTCTATGTGGGATTCTAACTGTTGCTTCTTGACCTGCATACAGGAGATGGGTAGGATGGTCTGGCATTCCCATCTCTCTAAGAGCTTTCCGCATTTTGTCACAATCCGCACAGTCAAAGGCTTTAGCGTAGTCAGTGAAACAGAGATAGATATTTTTCTGAAATTCCCTTGCTTTCTCTATAATACAGTGAATGTTGACAATTTGATCTCTAGCTCCTCCTCATTTTCTAAACCCAGTTCGGACATCTGGAAGTTCTCGGTTCGCATAACACTGAACCTCCGCTCTTCCCCAGTAGCATATTGGACAACGTCAGACCTGGGGGACTTATCTTGGTGTCATATCTTTTTGGCCTTTTATATAGTTCATGAGGTTCTCACAGCAAGTATACTGGGCTGATTTGCCATTCTCTCCTCCAGTGGATCACATTTTGTCAGAACTCTCTGCTATGATCCGTCTGTCTTGGGTGGCCTTGCACAGCATGACTCATAGCTTCATTGAGTTCACAGGCCCCTTCACCATGACAAGGCAGTGACCCATGAAGGGGCCAGGCAAGAGTACTGGAGCCACAAATAAAAACGTATTGACTTTCCTGGTCCCTTCTAGCTACCATACAAATACTCTCCTTCCTTTTTTTATACTTAATAAATAAAAAGTCTGGTTGATGCTATTGGCCATTATCTTTCACTCTTCCTTCCCTCTATTCACATCTCAACTCAGTAGTCTGGTTTCTGTCCCACCAGCCTTCTGACTCCACTCTGACTAAAACTACTGGTCACTTGCTGAGTGCAGAATCCCAATGAGCACATTCCAGCCCTTATCCTCTCTGCTCTTCTCATCTGCATTTAGCATTCCAATCCCTCCCCCTTCCCAAGCCTCTCCACTCTTGCTTCTATGACTTCTCACTCGCCTCACAGCTCTCTGCCTGCTGTTGTTTTCTAAATATTTATTTCTGTGGTTGTGCCAGGCCTTCGTTGTGGCATCTAGTTTCCTGACCAAGGATCGAACACGGGCCCCCTGCACCAAGTGAGGAGTCTTAGCACTGGACCATCAGGGAAACCCCTCTCTGCCATCTGGGTACCTCTTATTCCACCTGCCCTTTAAATGCTGACATGACCCCTGTGTCTCTCCTCACCTCTCTGCATTTCACATCCAGACTCCCTTCCCAGGAGATCTCCTCCGCTCCCCACTTCTATGTTGATGACCTCCAAATTGTGATCCTCGCCTTGATTTTTTTCCTCTGATCTACAGACTTGTCTAAGAAGGAAAGGGACCAAGTCCGAAGCTGCACTCATCCTCACACTCCCTAATCCAAGTTAGACAAGAGGGAGTCATCCTTGACGCTCCCCTTCCTTCATACCCAAGCCCCATGCGTTTCCCTGCCTTACTGCTCTCTCAGGGTCTCCTCTATCGCTACTGCTGCTGTTCAAGATCAGACAAAATCATCACCCCCACCTGCACTGCCTGCCTCCAGTGATGTCGCCTCAGCTTTACCTTCCTCAGAGGACAGAGTCAGAAATCAGGCTGCCTGAGTCTGGATCCTGTGTGACTTGGGCAACTTCCTAGCTGTGCAACGTGGGCAACTTATTTAACCTCTCTGTGCCTCCTTTTCTTCATCTGTAAAATAAGGATAATAATACTTTTTTTTTTTAGGATAATAATACTTATTTCATAGGTGTGCTGAAAGGATTAAATGAATCAACGTATGCAAAGTGTTTTCGAACAGTGTCTGAAAAGTAGTAAGGCTTCTCATCTTTACCACTCACAGCCTCCAGACTCCTGCTCCAGCCCCAAGATATGTGTGTGTCTGTGTGTGTAGCTCTTCACACACTGCCATATTTCTGTGTGTGCAGCTCTTCACACACTGCCATATTTCTGTGTGTGCTTTGAGAGTTTATCACTGTTTAAGGCTCAGCCTAGCCAGAAAAGCTGACCCAGGAGTCTCTTCTCTTTCCTACTATACTATCCTTTTTTATGGTTATGGCAAGCTTACTATATTGTATTATAATTTTCTGTTTGTGTCTTTCTCCTCCGCCAGCTCCATGGAGGGAAGGCTAGATCTTATCTATCGTTGTAGCTTTTGTATCCAGCCTACCAGTGGCTCCTCAGCACTTACGTGTGTGCCAGGTAACTAAGGAATAACTAGGCAAGTAAACAATGAATTGTTTTCTATCTTCATAAGTAACCCGTCTTGGGACTTTGAATTGTTAATTTGCTCTGTCTGATTCATACAGAAAAATATCTGGGACCAGGACTAGACAAAACTCAGCATTTCCCAGCAAAAGTGTTCCTCCGGTTTTGTTTGCTATGGTTTGGTTTGGGCTGGGAGAGCTTTCAGTCTCTTTGTTTACAAGCTGATGGGAAGCTGAAGAAAAGCTGCAGAAATAAGAGGACCCAGACCTGTTTCCTTAAGTGGAGGGAGTGAGGCGGGTCCAGAGCACAGGTGGCAGATCCAGATCTGAACGGGAGAGACGACTCGGTCTCCCTAATCTTTAGGAAAGGAGGTGGGAAATGGCTCCCAGAAAGAGGAGCGTCTGCAGGGACCTTGCCTAATAGCTTCCATTTTCTCTAAGAAGCATCGGTCAAGAGTACTTGCTGAAATAGACTGAGGGGCAGCAACAGAGCAGAGAAACTAGGAAGGATGACCCCTGTTTGAAATGGGAAAGAAAGAGGCCAAAGGCCAAGGACAACTTAGGGGAGGACCAGGCGTGACCCTAAATTCTTAAATCTCTGTCCTGGAGCTAATTCCTGGAGACGGGCCTGGGATGTGAGAGATGGAGCGGGCAGCTCACCTTACAGCAGCAGCAGCCCCTGCCCACAGCAGGGCCACACCAGGGGCCGGACTGCAGGGCTGCACTTGGCTTTTGCAGGAGTCTGGGCCAGGGAGAGCTCGCTCTCTGCCTTTCCCAGCCCGAGGGTGAAGGCACCAGGAGTGGCTGCTTTTGAGTTCTTCATCAGGGATGCAGCCAGGGTGATCCCCCACCTCCTCCGAGGGTCACCTGGGCCTGCCAGCACTGTGACATTGCTCCTGGCCACAGCGGCCACTAAAGCTTGGTAGACGGGATTCACGGGGGTAGGGTCCAGCAGAGTTCAAAACGACTAGGATTGCTCTTCCAGAGGTTAGAACTAATTCATACATGAGACAAGCTGTTCATGCACTATTGTGACACTGTTATGCACCGTTATGACACTATTATAACCCATCCTGTAAGTCTGGTTCGTCAGCGCAGTCCGTTTCTGCCACCTTAGACTGTCCTCTGTGTCCATTCCCTGCAGAACCGCGGGAACCAAACCATTTAGCATGGCGCCCTCTAGTGGCCCAAAGGCATCACTGTCCCTTTCTTTTGAAAATATCTGAGCTGTGAAGGCTGGGCTTCCCTGGTAGCTCAGGTGATAAAGAATCTGCCTGCAGTGTAGGAGACCTGGGTTCAATCCCTGGCTTGGGAAGATTCCCTAGAGGAGTGCATGGCAATCCACTCCAGCATTTTTGCCTGGAGAAGTCCGTGGACAGAGGAGTCTGGTGGTCACAAAGAGTCAGACACGACCGAGTGACTAAACACAGCACTGAGCAGTGAAGCCTAGACGAAGTGGAACTGGGTTCCCCTCTCACAGGCGCCAAGGAAAGGGACCAGCACTGGGACATTAGGAGATGCCTACCTAAACTGACAGGTAAAGACCAGCCTTTTTCCTACCTGAGAGAAAAGGCCGCCTCTGCCAATCAGAAGCCCCATGCATTTGCAGTCGTGGTGGATTTGATTTACCTCTTCACGGGGAAGAGGCTGGTGGCTCACCTGTAAATACATTTAAAAAATATTTTATGTTTGACGTTTGAACAATTCAACACATTATTTCTAAGAGAAATTAAAAGCAACTCAAGCAATCAGTGCTCTACTCTCCCTCTCAATCTCTCTCCCCCTGTAATTGAACAAAGCTGTTAATTTTGGATCAGAATTATTTTTGGGGGGCAGCATTATTAAAAATATTTGTTTTTTTATCTCAATTCATCCCAGATTCCTAAAGACAAGATGAAGTTAAATGTAGATCGCCAGTGGATCTTAGCACTGCAGGTGGTTACCCCAGGAGGCTGATTCTGTAATAGCTATATTTGGAGCCTGTTTTATTTATGTGGAAATTGTCCTCAACTTTTCACTTGGTTTTGTCCCTGTAAAAAATTCGTTTCAGAGTCCAGGAAATGGCTCAGAAGTTGCACAAGGGCACGAACAGCCCAAGCTCTCCCTGAGCCACAGAACAGCCTGGGCAGCTACAGTGGGGCCCTGTGTCCTGGTCTTCCCTCCTTGTGGAATTTGCTCTTTGACACCCAAGACTTAATATTCCAGGGTCAGGAGAGGTAAGCTCTCTGGAGACCCAGAGGTTGTTTCAGGTCGCATGGCATCTGAAGGTGGTGACTCCTTGTGGGCCAGGCTTGCCAGCACCCGTCTGATGACATTGGACTGGGGACTTCTGTTGTTAATGAACACCAACGCTCCCTCTTTAGTCAAGTCTGGCTGTGCATCTGCATCATCTGGAAGCCATTTTGAACCACAGACATTTAGGCCTTAGGCCAGGCCTATTAATTATTCGGGGCAGCGCTTTGTTTAGTTGTTAAGTCATGTGCAGCTCTTTTACCACCCCCTGGACTGTAGCCCGCCTGGCTCTTCTGTCCATGAGGTTTCCCAGGCAAGAATACTAGAATGGGTTGCCATACCCTCCTCCAGGGGATCTTCCCAACCCAGGGATCAAATCTATATCTCTTAATGTCTTCTGCATTGGGAGGCGGGTTCTTTACCACTAGCGCTTCACCACAATCCCATCTGAACATCATGTGCTGTGTGCTTAGTCGCTTAGTCACGTCCGACTCTTGTGACTCCATGGACTGTAGCCCACCAGGCTCCTCTGTCCGTGGGGATTCTCCAGGCAAGAATACTGGAGTGGGTTGGTGTTTCCCTCTCCAGGGGATCTTCCTGACTCGGGACTGAACCTGCATTGGCAGGTGGATTCTTTACCACTGAGCCACCTGGGAAGCCTGTAGAGCTTGGCTTCAGCATCTGCGTTTGTAAATGCTCTTCAGATGCTGGGCTGTGATCCCTCTGCTGTGAGCGCTGAGCACGGTCACCGCCGCTGGCCTCTCTTCTGTGGCACAGCCCTGAAAGCATCAGCACTGGGTCTGGCTCTCTGGCTTCAAAGGCACTTGGGCATGATCCTGGCTCATGGGCCAACCCCTGCGATCCCTGTGAGGTGAGGGAGGGCTCCCTCCTGTGCTCCCAGCTTCATTTTTCTGCTCTGGGCTTCCCAACTGTCTTCCTCTAGGCTTGGGTATCCATCCCCTCGCCCCATCCACCCTGATTCCTTTCCTGGTTAGGTGTCAGTGGCTGAGCATAGTCTCAGACTGTACCTCCCACAGAGGTCTGTATTCTCCATCTGTTGTGAAGCTTTAAGACTAGGAAAAAATTATTCAAACATCCAGACAAGAAGAGGACGCATGATGGGGTAAAAGACTAGGATCACCTCATTGATCCAAAATGTTATCCTGCTTGTCCCTGAGGCTCTCATGAGGGAAGACAAACACGGCAATATAATTTAGGGCTAAACGGTGAAAAGGCTTCCTGGGTAGCTCAGCTGGTAAAGAATCCACTTGCAGTGTGAGAGACCTGGGTTCAATCCCTGGCATGGGAAGATCCCCTGAGGAGGGCATGGCAACCCACTCCACTACTCTTGCCTGGAGAATCCAGAGGAGCTACAGTCCATGGGATCACCAAGAGTCACACACGACTGAGCAACTAATCGCAGAACAGCACAGACTGAAAACTAGAAAGAAGTCACATATGGTTTCGGGGATGAGAGTCAGAGGTCAGGAAGGGTTCCTGAGGGGCAGCTGGGTTGCGGGGTCTGGGTGGCCAGCAAGGGTCTGGGAAGGGCCTTTAGTCTCACCCTGGTCTGAGCCAGCACCCTCTCTGCTCCTCTGTCCTTTTTTATCACTCCCTAGCCTCAACTGCCAAGACTAATTGACCATCTTGTAGGCATATGCAGAGAAAAGCACGGTTGAAGAAAATCTAACAAGGCAAAGCCACAGGACAGCCTGACCTGGCTCTGTGCTTGAACCTAAGTTCCAACAGCCCCATAATCAAATAGGCATGTTAGTAACTAGCCTCTTCTTGAGGGTATAATGTAGCTTCATGTTTATTTTGTTTTTGTTTTTCAACTTGTTTTGAGAGGGTAGGTTTTCATTTAAACAATTATAAAAGTAGTTCATGGTTATTGGGAAAAACTCCTTAAAGCAGTATGGAAATGCATTTAGTAAAAATTGGCAGTTTCTCTTCCTAAAATCCTACTCCTAGGGACACTGCCTGTTAGTAATTTGGTGTGAACAAGACAATTTTTTTATGCATACAAATGTTTTTAAATGCACATTTTAAAAATAATTCATACTTTATAATGTTTTGCATTTGTTTTGAACAATTTACCATGTATCTGGAACATCTTTCCATGTCAGTGTATCTGGATCTAGTCTTTTTAAAGACTACCTAGTATTTTGTTGCTTGTTGATAGAGCAATTTGTTTAATCTCCTATTTTGGGACATGTATGTTATTTTCTATTTTTGTTTATGATCATAAACAATATTGCAGACATCCTTGCTTATTTACATCTATACACATCTGTGAATATTTCTCTAGGACACATCTCTATAAGTGGAATGGCTAGGTCAAAATTTAATATTTTAATAGACACAGATGAATTTCTGTCCAAAGGGCTGTATCCAGTTCACATCCTTACCAATAGCACATGGGAGTTTTAAATCTGGGTTATATTGTACAGCATCAATACATCAATACAGCATCAAAGCCAAGCTCTGAACTGTTTCAATGACAAGAAAGTGGTCTGAAGTGTTGCAGGGGCCTGAAATCAGTCAACAAACACTGGTAAAGCGCTCATCATCTGTGTATTTCTGGGCCCCCCAAAACATAATTTACACAGGAAAAGAAGATATTGATACTTGAAAATCGAGTCAACAAGTACATGATTTGAAAGATCCTTTCAAAGGAGCTCTTTAGACAGTATGAGAGGGATTCTCTGAAGGCTGGAGCCCCTTTAGATGGGAGAAGCAAAGGCAAGCGTTGAGGAGGAGGAGATCTTGAAAAAGGCTAGGATTTCCAAAGCTAGAGACAGAGAAGAGAGTACCATATTCCATGACTGGGGAAAAGTTTGAGTGGTATTTGGATGTACTGTCATTGAGGGGACAATAGAGAAGTTCCTTCAGACCCCATGCTTACAACTACTGAAGGGCAGAGAAAAGAGGAAAAGGGCTCATTCTACATATACTATTTTATAGCCTGCCTTATTTTTTCCATAATACAGTCTGCATGTCTTCCATGTCACATATATTTCTGTGCCACATAGTGTGGATTTACCATCACTTAGCTTGTTCGGTACCAATGGCCATTTGGGAGGATTCTGATGTTTTGCCATGACAACCTGAGTCCTGATGAACGGCTCTGTTCACATGTCTTGAAGGACACGGTAACTGGGGTTGGATTAGTAGGGAAGGCAGGAGTGCCTCCTCTCTCATTCGGCTCTCCTCGGGGGGGTCTGGGCTTTAAGGAGCCTAGGTATCCTTGATGGGGCTCCTGGGTTGGGAGAGGACTGGAATGGACTCGTCTGAACCTTACGACAGCCCTTGACAGGGCCCCAAGCTGAAGATAAGGATGTCACAGCTTGTGAGCCAGAGGGCCTGCTCTCATATTACAGTACTCTTATTTTCCTATTGTCTTCTTATAGCTTTCAAATCTTATTTAAACATTCCAGCCTTGAACTGTCTCTGCTGTGTGGTGTTAAGGGAAAAGTCTTATATTCATGGTCTGGGCTGAATATTGAAAGAGTTGAGAATCAGTCCTTCTGAACTAGGATGGTATGGTGAGAGCAAACAGCAAGACATCTCCTGAGGATAAGAATCAGGGGGAGGGCATCGGTCTGGCTATTCCTTCCCGCCCCAGAATTCTCCTGCTGTCACTCCCCTCTGAGGATCTAGATTTTACTTTTATGGAGGATTAGGACAATTTCCTACCGACAAGGACCCTAGGGGTAGCAGGAGGGACTGTGGGAAAGATTTGAGAAACAAGGTGAAGAATCAATAGGACTTGACAGAGAGAAGGAGCCACAGATTATTTTGCAGTTTTGAGGCTGGGGAATTGGGAGAAGAGTGGAGATACAAAACAGAAATGGTGACCTTGGGGAGAATCACTGGCTTAAGGGAAAATACTAAATTCAATTATGCTCATATTGAGTTTGAGGTCACAGTGGGGTATGTCATCAGAAAGTCACATTCCACCTGGTTATTGAGAGATTAAAGTCCATTCACAGACAAATACAAAACCCTATAAATCTTTAACATCGTCACCCAAACCATCACCACAACCTTCTCCTGACCCTTTTTCTGCTACTAGCTTTCTGGGCTGCCTGCCCCTCCCCCAGTAATTCTTCCCTTCTTTGTATTTCTAATGCAAAATATTCAGTCATTGCTGATGCTCTTTGCCTACTATCAGCTCCCTTCTCCAAATTCTCTTCCTCACTGCTCTGGAACTCTCCATGACCTGCAATCAGGTTGTTTACACTCAATGCTCTCTCTCATGCTCAGTCGCTTCAGTCGTGTCTGGCTCTTTGCAACCCCATCGGCTGTAGCCAGCCAGGCTCCTCTGTCCATGGGACTCTCCAAGCAAGAATACCATGCTCTTCTCCAGGGTATCTTTCCAACCCAGGGATCAAACCGGTGTCTCCTGCATTGGCCGGTGGATTCTTTACCGCTGAGCCACAGGGGAAGCTCCAACACTCTACTCATTTCTAATGAGCTTCACTGAGTCTTGCAGTCCTTGCCTGCTCTCTCTCTGAATGAATGAGCTTGTAGCCGAGGCTTCCTGCCTTAACTCTTGCTGCTCCAAGAAGCTACAGAGAGACCAGTAGATCACCACCTACCTTATCCTTCACCATTTCTATTCCTATCATGAGACCTTTGCCTCGGACATCTCCTACAATTTCAAATTCATCCCGCAGCTTAGCCAACTTCAGCAACATATAGGTGCCAACTTCTTGGCTATTTTCTTGTAGATTTTCTTCTTTAATCACCTGTTGAGAGAAAGCCCCAAATGACTTTCCATACAACAACTGTAAAAATTATAAAAAGTGTGAAAAAAAAAAAAAAGACTATTAACTGTAAAAAAAAAAAAATAAAATAAACAGATTTAAAAGGGACTGAGAAATAAATGTATACGACCTGTTTACAAAACTTGACCAGACAAATGGAACCCAAAGTCTTATGTGGCCATACCTCATCTCATAGAAAGATCTGCTGTAGGGAGAAAAGAAGGCTTGGTAGAAGGAATACTTGCCTTATGCCCTTCTCATCTTCAGGGATGGGTAAACATTTAGGGAAAAATAAGAGAGACATCTTAATGTTGGGCTCTGTGTGGGCCCAGAGTCAGGGCACCTGAGATATAAAAGGATTTTCACCTACTTTTGCTCACAGCAGAGATCTGTAATTCTTTTCTTTTTTAAACTTTTTATTTTGTACTAGAGCTGATTAACAATGTTAAAATCGTTTCAGGAAAACAGCAAAGGGACTCAGACATACATATACATGTATCCATTCTCCCCCAAGCTCCCCTCCCATCCAGGCTGCCACATAACATCGAGCAGAGTTCCCTGTGCTATATAGTAAGAGACCTGTGATTCTGGACCACATATGAGCAGTACACTATGTTTATAACCAGCTGATAGTAACTGCATGACTGCAGGCAGAACTTGATGTTTTTAAGATCTCCTTGTTCACCTACATCCTACCTGCCAAATTGTTTGAGGTGACTCAGCACTTAAAGAACACTAGTTGGCATTTCTACAGAATGAAATAAATGCCACATCCTACCCACACTTTCTCTTTTTGAGATTTAATCATATTTGAATATACTTTTTAATTAGGGCAGCTTTTACTTATTTTTATTAAAAAATACTTTTAAATTTATTTTTTTGAATAAGTGAAACATGTGCCTTGTTCAAACATCACAAAGTACAGAAGCAAAGAGCAGAATGAGCCTCACTGATCCCTGTCCTCCAGCCACTAAGTTTCCCTCCCGACAAACAACCACTGTTAATAATTTCTTGTGCAATCTTTCAGAAACTATGCTACACTTATTTAAGCACGCACTATTATGCATATAATACGTGCATGCTAAGCCCCTTCAGTCATGTCCGACTCTTTGTGATGCTATGGACTGCAGCTTGTCAGGCTCCTCTGTCCGAGGGATTTTCCAGGCAAGAGTACTGGAGCGGGTTGCCATGCTTCCTTCAGGGGATCTTTCTGATCCAAGGATTGAACCCACATCTTTTATGTCTCCTGCATTGGCAGGGGGAGTTCTTTACCACTAGCACCAAGTGCTATTATACATATAATTATGCAAACTTTCTTGAACAGATGAGACCACAGGCAAAAATCAATGGGCTAGTGCTGAACCACAGCTGAATCACCTAGCTGGAATTGCATAGAACTCATTTGCTCTTTTGTCTTTTCACTTATGACAGTACAACGAAGGTAAGGAAGCATATACAAGACAGGACCAAAATTCAACTGATACCAAAAATTGCCATTGGTCACCATCCATAAAACACCAATCAAATCACAAAAGAAATTTCAGTGCTACCAGCTAGCTAGGGGAATTCTTATGTTTCCCATGTGTGTGAGGTTTATTATATATGATTTCATATCCAATACTTGAAGCACTGATAGTAGATCTCAAAAACTGGGAGAGGGAGCAGAATAATAACTGGAAATCTAAACAAATTCATGGACTAGGAATTAACTCTTCACTTTAATTATGTCATGTGATAGAGTCCTGATAATATGTGTGTAGTTTTGAAGTAGTTGATTGGTGAAATGAATGATGTTGACACAGCTGCTGGAGCGTACCTCAAGCACGGCTGAACCAATGGCGCAGGCCATGGGGTTCCCTCCGAAGGTATTGAAGTGAAGCAGGCGCTTGGCTAAGGACTTGGCAATCTCTAGGGAGAGAAAATAAAAGGTGGATAAAGAGTGACACATCTATAATTTCTCATCGTGCCATTTGGATTATATTTACTTTCATGTTATAGAAAGGTGTTTATAATATATTTCATGGCATCCAATTTATTCGTCACTCACCAGATAGTGACGTTATGGATGGAACTGTCTCTCTCCCCTCAGGCACCCCTAACTCATATGTTGAAGCCCTAACCCCTGGTGCAACTCCCTAGAGACAACTAAGGTAATAAGGGTGGAGCCCTAATCCAATAGGATTGGTGCCCTCATAAGAAGAAAGACCAGAGCCCTTTCTCACTGCAGAAAAGGACACAGCCAGAGGGTCATCTGCAAGACAGATCTCACCAGAACTCAACTGGTCTCTTACCTTGACCTTGGACTTTAGCCTTTAGAACTGTGGGAAAATAAATGTCTGTTGTTTAAGTCACCCAGCCTGCCTTATCTTGTTATGGTAGACCAAGCTGATGAATACAATAGGTAAGGAAAAATTGCTTATTTACTCCATGAGAAGCTTACTAATAAAATTTTCAATGTGTTGTATGAAGTGAAAAGTACTTTAAAACTTGATTTATGGGAACTTACATGAATCCTCATTAATTAGCCTTTTTCCTGTATTCCACTCTTGGGACTAAGAAGGAAATATTTTTAAAAATTCTCATAGCAAGGATTTCATAACAATCTCCAGATGGTTTAAGGGTGAAAATATATATTTGGTTCATTATAGTTCACCTTCAACACCCATATTTTCATATCTTTCCTCATTTGATAAAAGCACTGAAATATTACAAGGCACTTAATTATCCTTTGGGGTTTCTCAAGTATGCTTGCTATTGGTGGGAAAAATAAATGAAATAATCTTAAGATTTTCAATAATAAGTGGTTTGTAAAAATATTTTCTGTAAAGCTTCACTAAAATGGGTAATACAATTAATGCTAATGTTCATTTTATAGATTGTTCTAGCTAAGTGAGATTGCATTGTATTTAGTTGTTGATAATCAGCAGAGAAAACTGTCACTCTGAAGGCTAAGTCTATAGCTTATTGGGGTGGCAAGACTAAGTCAGAGTGTTCTTCAAGAATATGATTCCTTGGACACTTTAGGACTGGCTTCAGGTTAGTTAACACAGATCTCTTGTGTTGATTTTGTTTTGGGGGCATATTTGCCTAGACCTTGTCAATGTAGTAGAACCCTACATCTCACTGCAAGCCTGGGAGAATTGGTCTTCCCTACAGCAAAGAGCAAAAAGGGCTGGTTTTCTTCCATCTCTTCCACAATCTGGCAGACAGACTGTTTCCCTTTAATATTGCTTGGGAAATGCACGTGTAGTTCCCATGACGGTCCCTAGCCCACATAAGGTACAATACACATGTTTTCTACAATTGGGATGCAAGGGGCCCAGAAGCAGACACAAACTGCCCGTGGTTCCTACCTGGAGTTGTTACAACTGCTGCCATGGGAAAGCCGTTCCCAATCCCTTTAGCCATGGTGACAATATCTGGCAGGACATCATGTGTTTGGAAGCCCCAGAAGTGAGAGCCCAGCCTTCCAAATCCTGTCTGCACCTGATGGAAACAAATCCGAAATCACCAGGAACCTTCTGAGAAATGCTGGTTTTCCTGACTCTCTGGTCTCTTTCCTTCTCTTCTGTCTTCTCCTCCTTAACATCATCATCATCATCATCCTTGTATTATGATGGAAAAAGCACTGTGCCTGAGCTTTTGGGCACCAAAAGCCATTTGCTAGCGTTGTTTCACAACTCTAGACATGTTTCTTAACTCCTCTGGACCTATGTTAGCTCTGTTGAGTGGAAACACGTAATAGCAATACATCACAGGGTTGTGGTGAGGGCTATATAAATAATGCATGTGAAAAAGGTTGTTGTGATTAGCAATCCTTAATAAAGACCCTCTGTGGGAAGGCTGCGTCTGCCCCATGCTGGATGAAGCAGTAATTACAGCATGCAGATTGGCGCTGGTGTGTCTGTCATTTAGCCCAGACAGCCTGGTTGTCCTCTTCCCTGTGGTATCCTTTTCTGAGAATCAGTCATGAGGAGGACTCAGTAAAGCCAGTTAACTCAGGATGGAACTAAATTGACCGCAGTTGTTGTGTTCACTCTGTTTCCTCTTCCTAGAAGACTTTCCCTGCTTCTGTCTCTGGCTAACTCCTCTTGTTCTTCAAAACATGGTTTCCTCACTATCTGGGCTAGGAAGACTTTCCTACAAGGCACCTAGGCTGCCATCAGAACCTCTCACCTTGGACTATTATCACCAGAATACATGTCTAATAGGGTTTCCCAGGTGGCGCTTGTGGTAAAGAACCCGCCTGCCAACGCAGAAGACACAGACACAGTTTAGATCCCTGGGTTGGGAAGAACCCCTGAAGAAGGAAATGGCAACCCACTCCAGTATTCTTGCCTGGATAATCCCATGGACAGAGGAGCCTGGCAGGCTACAGTCCAGAGAGTTGCAAAGAGTCGGACATGACTGAAGTGTTTAGCACGCATACACCCACATGTCTAATAACAGAGACTGTATCTCATTTTTCTCTTTATCCATAATATCTAGCAGAGTGCCTGATAAAAGTGGACACTAAGTGTTTGTAGAAAGAATAAAAATGTGGCAGAAGTGCCTAACTGAATAAAGGCACACAGATATTCCCATGCAAATTTCTGCCAGAGCCTTTTCTGGTGGTTGTTCCTTGATTTCCTTCTGGTTCTCAATCTCTTGGACTCTCTCTCTCTCTCTCTCTCTCTCTCTCTCTCTCCACATACACACTGCATTTCTGGGATAGAGGTGTAGGCACTTGAAGCTGATTCTGAAATGCTTTTGAAAGAGTAAGGGTCCTTCTTAGACTTTTTTAAAAATTATTTTTCTGCTCTCTCCAAGGTGCTGTTGCAAAGGCAGGTTTGGGGGTTACAATTAGATGACAGTGAGCAACACAGGAGAAGAGCTTAGATGTGAGAGTCAGACAGACCTGGGCTCAAACCCTGAGTCTCCTTGTTATGAGTCCCTGAACACAAGCTGATGAACTTGCCCAAAAGAGAGAACGTAAGAAGAGCTCATGGCAAATCCATCCAACTTGCCAGTCTATTTTCATTTTTTTATTTCATCTAAGTACCATAAATAAATGGTAAAAAAAAATCAGGTTGCTTGGACAATACATGAAATTACGTAGGGCCATAAACCATGTGAGTTTATGGTTTATATGGTTTATAAACCACCTAGGAAGTACCAGTTCTATAGACTCTTTTAGTTGAACAGAGATGACTCATTCTAAGGTTCATAAACTCAAATGTCGTAGGAGATAAGAAGCATATAGCCATGAGAGAAGCAGGCTAGGTCCACCTCTATGAATTGGAATGGGAACTATGTGTGCGGATGCCTTGCCTAAAAGCAGTCAATTTCCAATTTAGGTGCAGCCCACGCCAGACCAGGAGAGACTAATGGCCCAATATGGCCCCATGCTAAGTCATTTCAGTCATGTCTGACTCTTTGCAACCCCGTGGACTGTACCCCCCGCCCTCCCCCAGGTACCTCTGTCCATGGGATTCTCCAGGTAAGAGTACTGGAGTGGGTTGCCATGCCCTCCTCCAGGGGATCTTCCCAACCCAGGGACTGAACCTGCATCTTTTATGTCTCCTGCATTGGCAGGCAGCTTCTTTACTGCTAGTGGCACCTTGGGAAGCCCTTATTGTAGATTCCAAATTCCTCATTTTATAGAAGGGAAAGCCACGGTTAGCAAATTAAGAAGGCATGTAAGATCCCTGGGTGCAGTACTGGCTCTGCCCTCAGGATCTTCTTCTGTTCCGTCCTTTCCTGCCACCCTTCGTCTTTCTACACCATTGAAAGGCAGGTTGCCCTGTGGTTAGTGTGGCCTTTGAGTCTGGGTTTGAGTTCTGGCTCTGTCCCTACTAACTACATGATCTTGACAGGCAAATGAACTATCTTGAACTTCAGTTCGCTTTTTTTTTTCCCAATTCAATTTTTTTTTGGCTGTACCACATGGCCCGTGGAATCTTAGCTCCTTGACCAGGGATCAAAGCCTGTAATGGAGGTGGGATCCCCAAATTCTGGACTGCCAGGGGAGTCCCTGGAACTACTTTTCAAATATCTGTGATTATGGCCCTCTTCTTAGAGGCTGGACTTTTTTTTTCTAAGTGTGATTTCCAAACAGATTTTATTATTAAGGTAAGATGAATGCTGCCAGACTGCTGATACTATTTTGGCAAAAGTTAAGATGAAAACTTGGTTGTGAGGTTAAACTAAGTTTAAGCTGAATTCAAATAGGAATTTTAAAAGTATGTTGAGGAATGGCAACGTCCTAGGCCTGTTAACTTATTTGATAGACTTCAATTGGGACGTTGAAGTTCTAATCTAGTAACGAACTAGTCAGTCAATGAGTCAAAGATTCATTAACTTATACCCTCATCTTGGAATCTGCAAATAGATGCTTTCTGCCTGGACTGCAGAGCAGGGTTTAGAGGTTTCTCCCTGCGCGTTTCCTGTCCTGGCTCCATCACACCTGCTCTGTGGCCACTCACTTCATCCGCAATGCACACGCCTCCCCGCTCGCGCACCAGCTCGAAGGCTTCCTTTAGAAACCCCTTCGGGTACTGAACAAAGCCATTCACCCCCTGCAAAAGACCAAACCAAGAAGACCTAGAATAACAGCACAGGGCCTTGAAAGTATTAAAAAAAAAGAAAGAAAACTGAAGACAGATCATGATCAATATTAGCATTAGTGATACTAGCAATTTTTGAAAGTTTCTAGAAATGTTTCAACTATGGGTGAAAAGAAGAGCCATTCCTCTTAATGCCATGCCTTCTGGGAAATGGTTGCAAATGTAGTCTTTCCTGAGAGTAGAGAAAAATAGATTAAGGGGATTTAGTAAGATTACAGAATGGCTCACCCTGACAGTGTGGGTAATAAGCAAGTGAAAACTGCTGGGGTTTTTTATTTTTACAGATTTACAAATTCAATAGTTTCATCTATCTCTCTGTTCAGTCTGGGAGTACAGAAGATGGATTTTTAAAGGTCAGTTGAAAACCAGGGGCCTTCTTTTTTTCAAGGGGATGAAGAGAATGACATAGAGGGATATAACAGTGATCACTTAAATAATTTGGAAGTCACTAGAATGTATGAGTTAAAATTGATAATTTATAATAGAGTTCAATTAATGTTTAAGGTTAACACACTTACTTGAATTGGCTCTGCAAAAAATCCAGCAATTGATTTGGCCACAGAAGTGCTCAGAGTATCTTTGAATTGTTCAATATACTGGTCTTTAGCTTGACAGCAGTCTGCAATAAACAAACAAACAAAACAAAACACAGCATTTGAAGACGTGAGAAAGGCATCCAGAAGAATGGGGGGAAAATGTAGAAAAAAAGGAACCAGGATAGCAAACTGACTAGAGTCCCTCAAGATATAGTAAAGCAGGATATGGGGATATAGGTTTCTGAAAGGGAAACATTGTCAGAACAACTTGGGCTTTGTTCTGAGCAGCAAGACTAGCCTAGCCACAAAGGCGTAAACAAACTACTTCAGTCATTTCCATCTGGGGAAGAAACAACCCAGAGCATCACTGAGTCTGGGATAGATGGCTGTTTCACCTAAGGAAGCCAATTCTTTCGATACGGTAGATTTAATTCAGATGTAATTGCTCTGTGGATCTGATTTATTTGGAAATAACTGTTTACCTTGTATTGCCACTTAATCTGATGTATCATTTTAAAGCTACAAAGTATCTCAGTCTTTATGGTTAGTAAGTATGTTTATATACTAACTCCAATACTTTGGCCTCCTGATGCAAACAGCCAACTCATTGGAAAGGACCCTGATGCTGGGAAAGATTGAAGGCAGGAGGAAAAGGGGACGACAGAGGATGAGATGGTTGGATGGCATCACTGACTCGATGGACATGAATTTGAGCAAACTCTGGGAGATGGTAAAGGACAGGGGAGCCTGGCATGCTGCTATCCATGGGGTCATAAAGGGTTGGACACGACTTGGTGACTGAACAACACCACCAACAAATATGTTTATAGAATGATGAGAATTCTAAAGAGGAAAGCACTACAGTCATGTAACTTTCATCCACCATCTCAGGGGAGAAGAAGCATTCCCCTCTGGAATAGCAAATGTCCCAGAACTAGTGTGTCCACATATGAGAACCTTCAGAATTTTTATCCACACCTTTAATTTGGTGGATAGCACCACATAATCTCTGAATCTAAACCCATACCCATGAATAGCAGAGGCGAGGCAGAGGGAGATATGAGTGTGATGGGAGTGTCTGGTGAAAGCAGTTAGGGAGGCAAGTCACCATCTACCATCATGGTGCTTGCTTAGAGGCATGGACGTGGTCCTGTCTCCTGAAAGCTAGAGATAAGGAATAGAAACTTTCAGTTATCACCATCAAAACTGAAGCATAAATATAATTTATACTTCAGCTCTTAAAGAGCGAGAAAAATATGACCTGGCCCCAAACATACTTTGAGGCTATATGCAATGTTTGAAAAATCTTGCTCAACAGAGTTCCCTCATCTTTGGTGAACTGGAATCGAGGGCTCAGGATTTGAAGAAGGAATTAATGAAAGGTATATCAAAACCAGAAAGTACACTTATTAGCATCATTTATGTTGTTTGATGGACAGGATATAGTAGACAAATGAATCTGTGCCCCTGGAGATTGAAATTTTCTATTTTTATTCAGAAAGGAAAAGAAAACAACCAAGGATGACCTTAGAGGATGAATTATACATATGTTCAAAGGATGAAATTTGGGAATTTAGCAAGACCATTTGTCACTTGAGAAGTCCAAGTGTGGAGCAACATCAACCCTAATGGTTTAAATTTGGACAAAACAAACCATGAAGAGGATTTTGCTTGAACCTGTGCTGCTGCTGCTGCTAAGTCGCTTCAGTCGTGGCCGACTCTGTGCGACCCCATAGACAGCAGCCCACCAGGCTCCCCCGTCCCTGGGATTCTCCAGGCAAGAACACTGGAGTGGGTTGCCATTTTCTTCTCCAGTGCATGAAAGTGAAAAGTGAAAGTGAAGTCGCTCAGTCGTGTCTGACTCTTAGTGACCCCATGGACCACAGCTTACCAGGCTCCTCTGTCCATGGGATTTTCCAGGGAACCTGTGCTAGACCTTTCATAAATTTTTCCTCCACTGTGTACAAGTTCAGCAATGTGAGTCATCAGTTGTCACTGGATTTTTCCTTCATTGGCTCATTGCTGTACCTCCAGGTCAGGCCAACTCTGGAGAGAGACCTGGTGTAGTGGTGTCATCATGACAACATCAAGCAGGTGGGATAGGGACTGCTCTCCTGGATGCTATCCAGGAAATGGCATAAAGAGGGAGCTGTTTTCATTTTATCTGGTGGGATAGAAAGAGTTCGGCTTCCCAGGTGGAACTAGCAGTAATCCGCCTCCCAGTGCAGGAGACATAAGAGATGCAGGACCATCCCTGGGTTGGGAAGATCCCCTGGAGGAGAACATGGCAACCCACTCCAGTATTCTTACCTGGAGAATCCCGTGGACACAGGAGCCTGGTGGGCTACAGTCCATGGGGTCAAAAAGAGCTGGACACGACTGAAGTGACTTAGCATGCATGCACACAAAGAGTTAAGCAAGAGTGAGGAGCCAAGAAAGAGCAATTTTTAAGGAAAAGGGAGCTTGTGTTGCAAAAGGAGAAAGAGAAATGATGTGATCAGTATGAGGTTAGGAACACTGTGTGGGCAGTGGGTTGAGATGTGCTTTTCCTCGCAAGGTATATCTGACATTCTGGGACTTGAATGAACAGTTGGAAAGAAAACATCCTGAGGAGGGGGTGGAGGAGAGAATGAACTCTACCACACACATATTGGATTCTTGCCCAGGCCTATGAGGGGAGTGGTGACATCCTGCTGAGGTGAAAAAAAATGCCCCCTGTCAAACCTGGGACCTTTATGTGTTCAGTGAGTGAACTCTAAGAGGACCTAAGAACTGGAAACTTCTCTACTCCAAGTAATTTATATGTTGGTATGTTGGGATGCATTTACAAAAATATATAAATATGCCTTTTTATAGCAAAGACCCAATGCTTCTCAAGCCTAATAGCACTAGAGGAGGCTGATGTCACTTCTTGTATGAAGATAGGGTATTAGTCTTGTCTCTTGAAGATATGAGTGAAGAAAACAGCTGACTTCAGATGTGCTGAAGACCACAGTTCCGAGAGGCAGAAATGTCTGTCTGTCACTATCACTTAGCCTCCCAAGATCACTAGAGAGATGACCCTGGGGTCCTCGTATTTTCAAGTTGGCCGGACAGAGACGAGAAGGCAGAAAAGAGGGAGGAGGCAGAGGATGAAGAGAGAGGGACACTGAGCCAGGAGGGAAGCAAAGGACTATGTCTGCTGCCTCCAAGGCTCTGCGCTGATGCGCTTGCAGTTGGATGGACATCTGTGAGGTTCATCCAACTGATTTTAGTTTTTGATGCCACATGGCGGTGAGGTGCAGGCATAATAGCCCTTGGCATTGCTACTGTCTGCCTGTCTCTAGAAAAGCCCTCTTTCTGGGACCTTCTTGGTGTTCCAGTGGTTAAGACTCCATGCTGCCAATGCAGGGGCTGTGGGTTCAATCCCTAGTCAGGGAACTAAGATCCCACATGCTGTGTGGTACAACCCAAAGATTTTTTAAAAAGGATCCCCATTAAAAAAAAAATTCTAAAAGTTCTCTTCCTTGGTTTCATGGAGGCCTGGAATAAGGGGCCACGGGAGCAGATATTGCTGTCTACATTTCACAGATGAGAAACAGGAGCTTCATCTTTCAGAAGGAGAGTTTGAGTGAAGTTTAAAACTTCCTCACGGTTTTATGTTCTGTGACTATAACATCTTGTTCTAAAGTTCACGCTTTCAGCCTCCCACCTCCACCACGATCCCATCTGAATTTTAAGGTGACGGTGAATTTTCTTACTTTCAAAGCTGATTTTTAAGACTTCCATTTACCTTCTTCTTCTCAGCCCGGTGACTCACACTGTTTCATTAAAGATCTCTCGGCAGGAGAACTTCGTGCTTTCCTCCAGCGCTATTTGGAAGCAGCCACCCAAATAGGTCGCCTGTGACCTGAGCAGCAGGGCACAGGTCCTGCCCTGTGATGACAAGCATGGCGTGGAGCTTGCTGACAAATCAAGAACTCAGGCTGCTTCCAGGCCTCCTCTCCCTCATGTGAGGAAGAGGTAAAGAATGTAAATAATAATGCAGTTGATGAATAACAGCTTTCCTGGTAAGGATGTCTTTACAGTTTCTGAGGACATGTCAGCAGCCTTCAGGAACCGCCTTCTGTTTTGACAAATACTCTCCTTGGCTGGTATTCTGAGTCGGTGGGGAACTTCTTGACTGGAGTTTCGAAATTTCTAAAAGTGTTCTTTCCCCTTCCTCCGTTGGGAATTGGTGACCTCCATTGGGAACTGGTGAATAATCCCCCCAACCTTGTTTTCCTATGAAATTGGTAGCAGAACCATTGCTAGGAGGGCTGAGAGGGTGCCTCTAATGAAGCACTGGGTGACAGTGTGTTTCTGGCTTAGGTCTGATAAGAGTGAGACGCTGAGATGGATGGATGCTCTGATGCTCTGAAGGTACTGCGGTCATTGGCTATAAGGAGTGTTGGCTCACTGAGGAGTGACTTCCTAGTTGTATTTGCCTTGAATTTTCCCTTTCCCACTTTTTCCAATTTGCCTTTCTCCTCATTCCTTCCCCCTCCGGACCTTCCCCCACATGCCTCCCTCCCCACTCAGTTGGACCTGGTGCACAGCTGCATTTCCTAATTGTTTGCACTGGAGAATCTCGGCAGTGGCTTCCTCCCCAAGGGCCACGGAAAATGTCTGGGCACATTGTCTGCAAATGACAAAAGAGGGGGTTTGGCAAGGCATGAACACAAGACAGTCAATTTGGGGCAACATATGGTACCAATCAAGGCAAGAGGACTTCTTAACTTTATACCAAGATTCCTTCCTTATTCTTCTCCCACTTAGGACAAAAACTTGATATTCTGCTTTGAAGAGATAATTTTTTTCTTGGAAATCAGTTATGAGGGCACTCTACAAAGGAAACTGATTTCTGTGTCTGCCTGGAAACAATTGGCTCAAGAGTCTGGTGGGTAAGGGCATCTGAAAAAATGAGAATAATTAGGTATCTGATTCTGATGTTGAAAAGGTGGGTACAGTGGATGAGAACAGAAGGTGAGAAGGATGAGTATATGGAAATTATATGCATTCAAGGCTCTGGGAACTTATTTCAATGCATTTATTTGTAATTGGCTAGATTTTACTTAAAAAAAAAAAACAAAATGTAAAAACATCTCTAATGTTAAGTATTACTCAGACTCTGAAGGTCCTTCTAAGAAATGTCTCCTTTAAATGATCTTTCATTTGGTTAAGTAAAATTGAGGCCTTGATTAATCACAGGCTTCCTATTAGTTTTTAGTCCTAATGACTGGAAAAATCTGATCAATGATTCCATACACCTAGGAGTCCTTAGAGAAATACGGCAAAAATCTCAAAACTTACTGGTTGGCAGCCCATCCCATGAGGGAGGTCCATCTTATAGATGCCTACATTGGTCAAGCCAAGTGCGTAAGGACTGCATCCATGGTAGGCGCCTCTGCAGACAGAAAAAGAGTGGGAGGACTGGGTTAAGTGTGCTTTAATTTGATCACTGGCTTGTGGAACACTGGGTGGCACAAAAAACAAAATCCATGAAAGCTATGGAGAGGAAAAAGAACACCATTGACCTACAACCTCAATGATCTCAAAGAAATCATCTAAACCTGTGTCAAATGAATTTACCTCTTTATTTTTTCTACTAGCATCACAGATTTGAATTGTGAAAGGAATTTTGGAGGCCATTTGGCTGAGAGCTCTGATCTTAGACCTGGCCTACTCCGTTCCTGTAAGCAATGAGACTCGTCTTTTACCAACATACCAGAAATTATATATTCAACGAGTCTGCAAAGTAGTCTCTTTGAGAATCTGAGTATCTGTTCCTGTGAGGTGGCTGTCACTTGACATTTTTGGGGACTTGTCTTCAAGTGCCCCATAAGCCATCCTAGTCAGCATAGAAGAAACACGGGCTTTATTTCTGGAAACTGAAACAGTCATATTTATTACAAATTATCCTAATCTCTTGGTTTCAAATAAGTTTGGACAAATTCCCAAATCAAAATCACCCTTCAAAAAGGATTTAGGACCATTGAGACTATTCGAAGGAATGGTTGTATATCCTGAAAGTGGAAACACAAACATGTATTGAACCCTAGTAGGACCAAGACTGCTCTGAATAGATCATTATTTATCTGGACATACATATACATATTCTAGATGTTCAAGCTGGTTTTAGAAAAGGCAGAGGAACCAGAGATCAAATTGCCAACATCCTCTGGATCATCAAAAAAGCAAGAGAGTTCCAGAAAAACATCTATTTCTGCTTTATTGATTATGACAAAGCCTTTCACTGTGTGGATCACAATAAACTGTGGAAAATTCTAAAAAAGATGGGAATACCAGACCACCTGACCTGCCTCTTGAGAAACGTATATGCAGATCAGGAAGCAACAGTTAGAACTGGACATGGAACAACAGACTGGTTCCAAATAGGAAAAGCAGTACATCAAGGCTATATATTGTTCCCCTGCTTATTTAACTTATATGCAGTGTACATCATGAGAAATGCTGGGCTGGAGGAAGCACAAGCTGGAATCAACATTGCTGGGAGAAATATCAATAACCTCAGATATGTAGATGACACCACCCTTATGGCAGAAAGTGAAGAAGAACTAAAGAGCCTCTTGATGAAAGTGAAAGAAGAGAGTGAAAAAGTTGGCTTAAAGCTCAACATTCAGAAAACTAAGATCATGGCATCCAGTCACATCACTTCATGGCAAATAGATGGAGCAACAGTGGAAACACTGGCTGACTTTATTTTTTGGGGCTCCAGAATCACTGCAGATGGTGACTGCAGCCATGAAATTAAAAGACGCTTACTCCTTGGAAGGAAAGTTATGACCAACCTAGACAGCATATTAAAAAGCAGGCACATTACTTTGCCAACAAAGGTCCATCTAGTCAAGGCTATGGTTTTTCCAGTGGTCATGTATGGATGTGAGAGTTGGACTATAAATAAAGAAAGTTGAGCGCAGAAGAATTGATGCTTTTGAACTGTGGTGTTGGAGAAGACTCTTGAGAGTCCCTTGGACTGCAAGGAGATCCAACCAGTCCATCCTAAAGGAGATCAGTCCTGGGTGTTCACTGGAAGGACTGATGTTGAAGTTGAAACTCCAATACTTTGGCCACCTGATGTGAAGAGCTGACACATTTGAAAAAGACCCTGATGCTGGGAAAGATTGAGAGCAGGAGGAGAAGGGGATGACAGAGGATGAGATGGTTGGATGGCATCACTGACTCAACGGACATGAGTTTGGGTAGGCTCCAGGAGCTGGTAATGGACAGGGAGGCCTGGCGTGCTGCAGTTCATGGGGTCGCAAAGAGTCAACACAGCTGAGCGACTGAACTGAACAGAGCTGAACATATTCTAGAATGTTTATTTAGGTATAAAAAAATCACAATTCTTTACCACTGTATTTCTTTGATAGCAAATGTTCATGCCTGTAGTCCCTGCATGCACATTTTATCTGGAATGTGTAATATTAGATGTCCCTTGGTAATCAAATCTTCTAGAAATTAAATCTTCTCTTGGATTTAGACAGAAGTCATGGCCACAATAGTGGGAGAATGGGACTATTTCTTCACTCCACTAACTTTTACTATGTCATGCCTATCTTTTACATAAACATTATTATGAATCTGTGTAAACATCCTATGTAAAATTATCCAATGGAGGCAAATGCAAACAAAATTGTTAGTTTTTTAATATCATTTTTAATACAAAGAAAGCCACCAAATGTTTCTAATTAATGTTGGGACTTCTCTGGTGGCTCAGTGGTAAAGAATCAGCCTGCCAATGCAGGAGACATGGGTTTAATCCCTAATCCAGGAAGATCCCATATGCTGCGGAGCAACAAAGTTTGTGTGCCTCAACGGTGGAGCCTGTGCTCTAGAGCCCAGGAGCCGCAACTATCAAGAGCCGAGCTTTTCAGCAAAAGAAGCCACTGCATTGAGAAGCCCACATACCACAACTAGAGAGTAGCCCCTGTTAACAACAACTAGGGAAAAGCCTGCACAGCAGCAGAGACGCAGCACCACCAAAGAAATAATTATAATTAACATATTAAATTATTGATTCTAAAAAGTCATCCAAAGGAGCAGAAAGATACAGCGTTAGCTAGGGTACTGAAGAATTGATGCTTTTGAACTGTGGTGCTCGAGAAGACTCTTGAGAGTCCCTTGGACTGCAAGGAGATCCAACCAGTCCATCCTAAAGGAGATCAGTCCTGGATATTCATTGGAAGGACTGACGTTGAAGCTGAAACTCCAATACTTTGGCCACCTGATGGGAAGATCTGACTCATTGGAAAAGACCTGGATGCTGGGAAAGATTGAGGGCAGGAAAAGCCTAGCATGCTGCAGTCTATGGGGTTGCAAAGAGTCGGACACAACTGAGCAACTGAATTGAACTGAACTCTGAATTTAGAAAAAAAGGTGAAAAATTGTATAACTGGCACTGTGAAATAAGTATATGGCTTCTTATCATAAGCAGAGATGAAAGTGAGTCCAGTGTCACATGGCAAAGCTTCTGGGGGTGCAGACAAGTCTTTCACTATCTGGCATAGGGTGCAGTCAATACCATATGTCTTTTTACATTTAATCTAGTTTTTTTTTTTTAATTTGTATTTTGTATTGGAACATACGGGGTGGTGATAGTAGTAAAGAACACACCTGCCAATGCAAGAGACATAAGAGACATGAGTCCGATCCCTCTGGGTCAGGAAGATCCCTGAGAGGAAGGCATGGCAGCCCACTCCAGTATTCTTGCCTGGGAAATCCCATGGACAGAGGAGCCTGGTGGGCTACAGTCCATTGGATTGCAAAAAGTCAGACACAGCAGAAGTGACTTAGCACACAGCACATAGTTGATTAACAATGTTGTGTTAGTTTCTATATCATATCTTCAAAGTTAAAAAGCTGTCTTGTAGCCTTCTTTTTAATTCCATACAGAATCTGTGACATAACTAGGCTTCCAAACTCTTTATTAGTTACCTCAGTCAGGGACCCCTACTTGGATCAGGCCAATTTTTATGGTGCTATCCAGTCATAAAATTCATTTTATGGATCTTACCCTAAAACCTGAAATTAGAAAAACACCCCTGTGTAAGTCTCTCTCCTGCTCTAGGCTATATTTTAGAGAGTAACATTTAATATTGGGGTGAGTTGGTGTTAAAATGAATATTCCAAGATGTGATTACCTGAAAGAAATGATGTCTGTGCTGTTTGAGTGTGCTCTGGCCATCAGCATGGCTAGGTCATTGGCTTCTGAACCACTGTTCACTAAGAAAATGACCTGGAGGAAAAAAATACATGTGGTCATGAGATACAGATTATTCAATTCATTTGAAATTGTGAAAGAGTGTATCCCAGCCTCCGATTATTAAGAAGAGCTCCCTTCATACCAGTCAGTTCAGTCACTCAGTCGTGTCCAACTCTTTGTGACCCCATGGAGTCCCATCATTTAATTATTGATTCTAAAGCTGTTCATTGAGCAGCTGCTGAGCATTAGAGATACAACAATGGCTAAGGGATTGTCCAAATTGTGAAACATTTCAGGCTTCCATTAGAATTACTTGATGCTCTTCGAAGTGCTAAGATGGAGAGGCTTGCTGAGATGTACAGTGGTTAGCAGCCAAGGGAATCTGAGAACTTGGTCTCTTGGCTCTTGAAACTGAATCATTCTGCTTGACTCTGAAGGCTTGGCCCAGAGGCCCCCAGAGGGGCCAGAGGATATCCCGGCCTGTCTGTTCAGTGTTTGTGAATGTTAAAAAAAAGTGAGCAAACAAAAAGTGCAGCTCATCCCGATTGAAGGAAAGGGGAGCCCTGAAGGGCACTGGATCCTTCCTAACCCGATTTTAGGTTTTAGAGTAGGATCCATCAAATGAACTTTAAGGCTAGATAGCACCACCTATGAAGAAGGCAATGGCAACCCACTCCAGTATTTTTGCCTGGAGAATCCCCAGGACGGCGGAGCCTGGTGGGCTGCCCTCTAGGGGGTCGCACAGAATCAGACACGACTGAAGCGACTTGGCAGCAGCAGCACCATCTAAGGGGCTTTTCAGGTGGTGCAGATGATAAAGAATCTGCCTGCCAACACAGGAGATGGAAGAGACACAGTTCGATCCCTGGGTTGGGAAGATTCCCTGGAGTAGGAAATGGCAACCCATTCCAATATTCTTGCCTGGAAAATTCCTTGGACAGAGGAGCCTGGTGGGCTACAGTCCATGAGGTCGCAAAAAGTCGGACACATCTGAGCACGCACAAGCACACAACACCATCCAAATTCACTGGCTCCAATGTTGGGGTTCCTGACTGAGGTAACCAAGAGTTTGGAGTCCTGCCCTGAACTTAGGTTACAGCTATTTCAGATTTCTTCATCTCTTGTAGATCGTATAGGAAATAGGGTACTTAGATAATATGGTAAAATAATAATCATAGCTGACACCAGGTACGGTGCACTGTTTTATGTAGATATTAACTCACTGAATTCCGAAATGCAAATTTTGGCCAACATTTTAACTTCTCAATCCAGTTAAAAAAATTCAATCTTCAGATGCAGAAAAATATCCCATTTAGCAAAAATATCAAAGTGCATCTCAGACCAAATGAATTTAATGGTATATTAATTTTCTAAAAAAAATGGCTTCACTCTTTGTTAAAGAAGAAATGCCAGTGACTTGGCAGAGGGACTGTGGAGCCAAGAGATGAAAACTTCCTGAGTAACACAGAGGACAGTGTCAGGAAGGCTGGGGCACCCCTTAAGTGATGTCTGCAAAAATATGGTAAGGAGAATGATCAAGGAGAGGCAGCCACTTGGAGCTGATGAAGTGATTGTCAACTGGTTTTAGCAGCAATTCATCGATTTCTTTCTTCTCCTTGAGTGCTCAGGCATGGCTACCAGTGCATTCACTTTAATGTTCAGTTAATGTTCACTCACTTTAAATGTTCAGTGCACAGACCAGGTTCCCCACCCACACTCTCATTTCCCCGTCCGGCTTCCCTGGGATCAGCAGATCCTGTCCCTTTGAGTTATGAGCATCAGACCTTCAGAGGCTCAGGAAGAAGTGCTGAAAGCTTCTCTGCATACTCGTGGATCAGAGGGTGGAAGAAGACGGAACTTGTATGCCACAGGCGGCCCAGCTGCCTTTGCGCAGCTGCATTTACTTTCCTGGATAAACGGAAGAGCAGAGTTATCCACACTGCCACTGGCATGTCCCTCCCCACACAACACTGACCATTGAATTCACACCTGTGGGTATTTATCAAAGAGCTTCAAGAGGCAGATTTCATCCAAACACAAGAAAGAGCTTCTTTAGCTGCCAGAGGTATCTGGTAATGGAATGTATTGCCTCAAAAGGTAATGAATTCCTGACCAAGAGAAGTGTTCAAAAGCAGACTAAATGATTGACTGCTGAGGATTTTAAAAGATAAATTCCTAGAGAAGAAGGAATTTTGAAGTTATAATCTCTTCTAACTATATTTTCTTATTAACTATGCTTTAAAGAGTTTGGAAAATAGATAAGACTACATGTAAGTCTGGGTGTCTTTCCATTTTATTCTAAAGAATTATAGCTCAATCAAACACATGTTTATAAGATCAACAACTTTTCCTTTAAAGAAGATTCCAATATTTGGGTCTTAGTAGTAGTCGGTGTTGATGAACATTCCGTTATCACATTTTGTGAAGGATCCAGTCTCACGTTGAGGGATAGTAGGAACTAAAGGTATATAAATATGTGAGCCCTGACTTGGAATGCCTTGAAAAGATAGGCCAAGGTGTTTGAACTTGATCCAAAGAAGAGAAACTGCTGAAGTCTGTTATCAATAATTGATACACCAAAAAAAAAAAAAAAATCAGTTCAGTGGTTAAACAATTTTGAGGAATACCAGATCAAATTCTTTACTGCAGGACTTATCAGTACCTTTAATAGGCTAATGTGCTCTGCGTCTCCCCAGGAGAGAGATGGAGTTTAAAGTGTTTCCCAACCTTATTTTCTAATAGAACCGTTTAACAATGAACCTCTCCTGTGATCAGTGTCCCACAGAACTCACTTCAGAAAATTGTGGATTACTAATAAACTCTTAAGTGGAAGAGACACTTGGCAAAAGCATTATTTAGCAGAATAAATCTGAGAGTCACATGAAGGTAGGAGGGAAGACTGGAACTGGTGAGGCCAGTTATGTGGAAGGCATGGTAGCCTTCCATGTGTGGGGGGAGCAGAACCAGGACACAGGGAATTCCTGAGAGGGGCCAGTAGGGAAAGGCATTTCAGTGGAGGGAAACTAGATCTTGGTATCAGGTTGGTTATATAGAGTGAAAGGCAGAAAAGAGTCCAAGATGATTTTGGTATTCTTGCCTGTGATACTGGGGGAAACCCCAGGGTTGGTTGAGAAACACAACCAGTCTTAACTACCCAGCTCCTAGCAAGGACTTACCCAGAGGAGGTGGCTCATATGTGCTCCTTGAATAAATGAATATGTGACTAGAAACAGTTTTGTGGGAAGCACAGTGGATTTAGTCTTGGTAATGTCGATTTTCAACTGATGGTGGAGTATCACGGGCAGGGGGTATCCTGGAGGTTGAGGGCATCTTACTGCCCACGTTGGGTGTCTTAGACATGTTATCATAGCTTGGTGAGGAGCTGAGGCTGAACAGTTGGGTGAGGCTGCTGAAATGTAGCAACTAAGTGGGAAGAGGTGGGGAGATGGGGTGAGACCAATTCTATGGGGTAAATAACAAGAGAAGGGAGTACAGAGAGAAGAGGGGAGGGCTCAGGAAAGAGCCTGAAACACCCAGAGTCAGGAGATCAGAGGGACGAGGTGAATGGGCAGGGGGCAACCAGGAGAAGCATCAAGGTCATGGGAGCCAGTGGGAGGGGTTCATTCACAGACACCATGTTGCATGTAATTGGGAGGATTCAATGTGACTGTTTAAAATGTTCTCTACTTCATTTTTTCTTTACTTCTTTCATGCATGTTTATGTTTTAAACTGTATCCGAAATTTATTTTTCACACTCCTCAGAACGTGGTATGAGACTGTGTGTATGTCCCATGTTGCTTCAGTCATGTCTGACTCTTTGCGACTCTATGGACCACAGCCCACCAGGCTCCTCCATCCATGGGATTCTGCAGGCAAGAAGACTGGAGTGGGTTGTCCAGAAAGATCCTTCTTCAGGGGATCTTTCTGACCCAGGGATCGAACCTGCGTCTGTTTCATTTCCTGCATTGGCAGACGGGTTCTTTACCACTAGCACCACCTGGGAAGCCCTTCGTTTGGGACTAGTTCCTCCTGAAGATGCAGACAGCTGAGGGAGGAACAGGTGAGGGCTGGACCTGGGAGTATAACTCCCTCCTCATGGCCTGACAGGTACTCATGGAAAAGACCTTTCACCCTCTCTTGCACAGAAGGGCCCACACCTTGTTTAGACTTGCTGCTTTATTTTTGCCCTATGTACTATGAGTTTTATTGATCAGATTATTATTTTTTTTTAAATTTTTTTTCCATTTATTTTTATTAGTTGGAGGCTAATTACTTTACAACATTGCAGTGGTTTTGGTCATACATTGAAATGAATTAGCCATGGATTTACATGTATTCCCCATCCCGGTCCCCCCTCCCACCTCCCTCTCCGCCCTATCCCTCTGGGTCTTCCCAGTGCACCAGGCTGATCAGATTATTAAAGGCAAGCCAGAATAAATATTAAAATGAGATGGCTGCACTCAAACAAAAAGTCCCACAGAGGGACCTGCCCAGGGCATCCGCGTGTAGGCTGATGATCAAAATCACAGAAAATCTCAAGATTAACGCAGTCATCCATTTCTGGTGTAAATTTTCAGCTCTGGTTACATCGTCTTCTTATCATCCTTTCTTTCCTCCTCCATTGCATAAAGTTGATAAAGAAGAGCTGGATTAGAAGTGCTTTCTCATCTCTCATCATCTCTTATCCCCCCCACACCTGCCCTGTGTACTCTGAGAATACCGGGAACTGCCTTCTTCTCTGCCTTCTCCTCTTCTGCCCTCCTTCTCTGGGCTTCCTTGGTGGCTCAGTGGTAAAGAATTTGCCTGTGATGCAGGAGACCCAGGTTCAATCCCTGGGTTGGGAAGATCTCTTGGAGAAGGGAATGGCTACCCACTCCAGTATTCTTGCCTGGAGAATTTGATGGACAGAGGAGCCTGGCAGGCTAGAGTCCAAGCAGTTGTACAGAGTCGGACACGAATGAGTGACTCACACTTTCACTGTTACTGCCCTTTCCTCAGCACATGCCCTCTCTGTGAAAAGCTGTAGCTACTATGGAGGAGGAACACACACAGCCATACCCCAATCACATGGTGCACATCCTGCTGCATGTACCATGAGGATGACAAAATCTTGCATTGTTAAGAAAAGGCAAAGCACAGTGCAAAGATTTTTTGTTGTTGTTGTTTTGTTAGCCAGAAAATAGGAAGGAGCACATTAGCCACAAACTGCCACGCCTAAAGAGAGAGAGCTTTTCATCAAGGTTCTGAGTCACTCACATGATCGTCAGCCTGTTTCCCATATATTCTCTCGGAGTGAAAATTCCAGAAATTTTAAGGATACTCACGGGTGGCAGTGACCAACACTGACAGTGACAATCCCAGAAAAGAAATCCAGGTATCTGTTTCCCTCATGATCAAAGAGCCACTCCATGTGTCCCTGGTGGAGCAACAGGGGCTCCGGGAAATAGGCTGTGAGCATAGGAGAGAGATGTTGCTTATGTATCTCCAGGACTCGGCTATAGGCCAGGGACTGTAAGGAGACAAGAGTTAAGTGCTTAGCATCTTCCTTATTCCCACACTGCTTACAGATCAACAGCAGGTCCACACAGCACCTGGTCTCCCCACCAACCTCGCTTACCAGGGCGGTTATTTGCCCAGGGACCTCCTTGCAAGACACACCCAGAGCCTTCCTCTCAAGTGGAGGAAATTATTCATGTGGCCCTTTGATCCTTTTCTACATCAAACATGAAGAAGGAGGCTGGAATTTTCTACCTCTCCATAGAAAGCCTTGGCTTTTAGTTGATTTTAGCTGTGAAAAAAGAGACTGAAATAAAAGTCTGAAGTATCATGTTTTTTTCTCTAATTTTTTTTTTTGAGAATAAAAAAATGGAGTGCTTGTAGTGTTCAGGACTTTAATTATAAAGCTTCCGCCTTATCGTTCTCTTCTCCGTGGGTCCCTCCTGACTTTATCAATTCTACAGTTTCTAACTTATGAATGTCATGTAGAATGAAGGGGGGGTTGGAGAGAGAGAGAGAAAAAGTGAGAGAGAAAGAGAGGAAAAGAGAGAGAACGAGTCCAATATTTATTGAGTGACTGCAAAATGAGAACTTGACACTTTCTGGGGTGGACTCAGGAAGGTCAGAGCAGGCATTGACAGATGAGGTGGAATGAAATGTGTGCCGTCACACGTGTGGTCTATGTATTTCTTCATGCGTGTACACGTATACCTGTATCCCTGTGATACCTGTGTGGTCACGGACAGTCGCTTCCTTACACTCTCTGTCTCCCTCTGCTTTGTCTCCCATCTCTGCCCCCACCCCGCCTCTCTCTCTCACACACACACTTCATACAATACCACTGAGGGAGTAAGAGAGTTCGGAGGCTCCCACTGACTTGAAGGCTGTGATATCTGAGATGGCTCAGTGGCAGGCAGGGCCATCTGTGGGTCTTTCTTGAGGAAACAGTTACCTTAGCCCTCCCTAGAAGAACCCCCTCACCGGAGTTCTCCTAAAACCTCGGTGCTTACCTGGTATCTTTCGGGTGTGAAGTCACATGGCGGCATGCTGGGCTTTGTGTGAAGACTGCGCCTGGTCACAGATGTCCAGAAAGCACCACCTGAAAGCGGAGTGGTTAGTGTCCTCAACTAAGCATCACACTGGCCTGTTCGTAAAAATGACCCATCGTCACCCAAGTCAAAGTCCTGAGGGCAATTTTATTTCTTAGTTTTGAGAAAGTCATTTAAATTTTAGTTTGGGTTTAAAACTGAGGTATCTTTTTTTTTTTTTTTTTTTAACAGCTCAGAAAGAGTTTATTACAAGGCAGCCAGGCAAAGAGAATTGAGGACCAGTCTCAGAACTGCCTCCCCAAAGGTGAAGGGATTGGGGTACTTATGGGAAAGCAGGGTGGTCTTAGATGTGGGGGAAGGTAACTGGAGGTAGGGAAAGAGGTGAGGTGATGGGCGTTCTGCTTGGGTGCATCTCAGTTACAAATGCCTACATGTAATTGATTTACTTCATTGTCCAGCAGAAATTAATGCAACACTGTAAAGTAATTATATTCCAATAAAATAAATAAATAGCAAAAGAAAACAAAAAAACCCCAAAGTGGAGGTGCTGAGCATGATCAGAGGATGGAGTTTTCTGGCCTCCGATGTCACCAGGCCAGTGTCCAGACACCTGAACAGGCCACAGACTGAGGTATCTTAATAATTAATTTTTTCTTTTTTTGGCCATGCATTGAGGTTTGCAGGATCTCTTAGTTCCCTGACCAGGAATTGACCCCAGGCCCTTAACAGTGAAAAGGCAGAGTTCTAACCACTGCCTAGCCAGGGAATTCCCAATAATGAATTTTCTTAAACAACAAGGTCCTACTGTATAGCACAAGGAACTGTATTTAATATCCTATGATAAACCATAATGGGAAAGAATATGAAAAAGAATGCATATGTATGTATGTATAACTGAATCACTTGCTGTATAGCAGAAATGAACACAAGATTGTAAATCAACTACACCTCAATAAAACTAAAAATAAAAAATAATGAATTTTCTGGAGAAAAAAAGAGCTCCTCTTGAATCTGAGGGAAGGACGGAAGTTACTGGGGAAAGTCATAGTTTCTCCAGCCTTGGTCCCTCACAAACTTGGGAGGCTCTTCCCTCTGCCGCCATACTGTAAGGACGTCAATTCTCTGTTCAGCTCAAACTTCCCTCAGGGCCCCGGGGGTTGCTGGATGGAGTACATCCTTTTTGTTAATGGAGGTGCTTTCTAAGCTTTGGGCTGCCTGGTCCCTGAATCCCAGGGCCAATCCCAGTTTCTGGTACTGTGTTGGCTCTCAATAAACAAGGAATGAATGGCTGTTGACTGTTGTTGTTGGGGAGGACGAAAAAGGGGCCGTGGAGTATAATAATATGTGCATGCAAGGAGACCTAGAAGACAAAACCTTCTTGTAAAACACAACTCAGAGTCCATGAAAACACAAGACCAGGACAAACACAAGATAAACTGGAGCCAGAGGAATCATTAAATATTTGGAGCGAGAAGGAAGCTTAGGTTTTTTTGTTTGTTTTTTGCTTTTGGTCAAGATGCTCATTTTATAGATGTAGAAGCCAACTTATAAAGTGGTGAATTAATTTAAGATCACCAAGCCAGTTAACTACAGAAGAAGAACAAAACTTTGAGTTTCTGACTCCCAGCCTGGTACCATTTTGCTCATTCACTGGCCACCTCCACCCTCCTCTTCCATCACAGATTTTGATCCCTCTCTATAGCAGGGGATGGAATAATAGAATCAGAGAACACTGGAGCTGAAAGAGATGTCTAGAAACTTTATAAGTACTCTTGGAAAAGAATGCTGCTAATTTTGAGTTTCAAGGTCAGTATAGAGGTAATTTTATAGGTGGGGAGAGCTTGGCAAATGATTTCTCTTGTTCAGCATGAAAGTTTGAAACCATGGATGTAATGTTGGGGTTTTGTGTGGCTATGGAGTCACCATCTTGAGGAACAGAATGAACAAATTGTGCTTTTAAATGAGCTGGAAAGTAATGACTCTGAATATGTTTTCTTTCTTTCATGAAAGAGTTCATTCACTTTTCTGCTCTAAATAATCATGAATGTCATTAATTTGCTCTTACTTTAAAAGCAAATGGCTTTAGCTATCCATACATAGAAATGACCCAAAAATAAAACTAAGTTTTCTGAGAATTTCACCCTTTGAAAAGCTTTTCATTGTGTCTCTCTACATTAGTTACTCTTCTGAGATGGGGAAAAAAAATTCTGAGTGTTTCTAAGAATTCAAATTCTCTTCCTTGCAGTCTCATTTTCCTACCTGTAAAATTGAAGTTACCCATTGAGGAGACTGAAAGGTCTCTTGACTCCAAAGTTACAGTAAATTATGAAAGTGGTCTGGAGAGGAAATAAGGAGAGTTGGAAAAATTTGATAAAGAAAAACTAGAATTTTAAGTGGTCAAGGTAGGTATATTCAATTTGTTTATTCACCAAATTCATAGCAATATGATGGTGAAATGAGGGCTCAAAATGAAATTCATAAAATTCTGCTCTCAGAAAGGAAGAGGAAAGGAAGAAAGATTAGTTATCAAGTAGGAAAAATAATGTCAACAAGTAAAATAAGTCTGCTAACATTTATATGTGGAATCCAAAAAATAAAACAAGTGAATAACCATATTAATAACAAAAAAGAAACCAACTCACAGATATAGAGAACAAACCAGTGGTTACCAGTGGTGAGAAGGATGGGGGGAGGGGCAAGACATGGGTAAGAGATTAAAAGGTATAACTACTATGTATAAAATAATTAATGCATAAGAATATATTGTATAGCACAGGGCATATAGCTGATATGTTATAATTATTTAAATAGAATATAGTTTATAAAAATATTGAATCACTATTTGTATACATGAAACTAATCTGATTGTACTTTAATGAAAAAGAAAGAAATGTAGATAACATCTTAAAACAGCTGAAAATCTCTCTCACTAAACAACCCAAACTCAACAAAAATAGAAAATACAATAATTGATGGACAAAAAGAAGCAAAATGCTTCAGTTTTCATTAGTTACTAGAAAAAACCTAAATACATTGTTAATTGCCTGCATTCTCTATTCAAAATAACCTGTGTTTTGAGGATGCCATAGATTTGAAGTTTAACAAAGTTTCTCTGAGACTCCTGGAAATTGTGTGTGTGCACCTGGGGATTTCCAGGTGAAAATTCTAGGGGAAATTCTCTTTGTAATGATAAAAAGTTTTCTAATATTCATAATCAGGTTTCAACACAGAGTGGAAATTTATCAAGAGCTGGTGACTCTTTCAAATGAAAAAAAGGTTATAAAACATTTGAAAATATACAGTGCTCATACTTGGTAGAACATTAAAGAAATTTATTAAAGTGCTAATGATGCCTTATTTCTGCATAGCATATTAAGACACTTTAAAAAAGCTGTCGAGAGGGGGAACGAATTGGGAGATTGGGATTGACATATATACACTCTTATGTAAAAAGCAGAAAACTAATGAGAACCTACTGTATAGTGCAGGGAATTCTATTCAGTGCTCTGTGGTGACCTAAATGTGAATGAAATCCAAAAAAGAGGGGATATATGTACATGTATCATTGATCCACTTTGCTATACAGGCAGAAACTAACACGATATTGTAAAGCAACTATACTCCAATAAAAAAACATAAACCAAAATAAATATATTTAATTAAAAGTTCAAAACCAAACCAAAACAAAACAAACCTGTCACTTTGGGTGTCTTGTTTGATGCTTGGCATAGCCAATGGGTTCAGAAAGGAAGATATTATCACTCACCTTAGAGCTGAGGACGTGATTAAAAGTGAGGTGTTTGCAGTTTTGAGACACCCCTCACCATCCTGTTGATTCTTACAAACGCCTCCCACCTTCCCTCCATATCCTTCCAATAAATGTTCTTTTGCTTAAAGTGAACCAGGGCCAGTTGACTTTGTTCACTAGCAAGAGCTCTGCCTGATTCTGAGGCTGGTGACTCTTGTCCTTCCTTTTGGCACTTTTGGGGGCAAGCCTAGTCTGAGCCTCTCCTAGCCTTCTGTTGGGCTTAGATCAGTCCACAGATGGCAGAGAGGATGGTCTGGTGGTGCAGGTGGAACACTTACTTTTAGGCTAATTTGAATGTTTTTCTCAGGAAAGGGGAGGCTTGGGAAGTTTCTCAGCTGGAAATGGGTGTTATTTGCAATTAATTTGCTCTTCTATGTACCCCTCCTTGTGGGAGAGAAGGCAGATGGTAGCAAAATGGTATGTTTGAGTGTATTCCCACCTGCCTGAACATATTATACATTCAATAATCTTTTGTGTGTGTATGTGTGTGCTCAGTTGTGTTGGACTCTTTGTGACCCCATGGACTGTAGCTCACCAGGCTTCTCTGTTCATGGGATTCTCCAGGCAAGAATGCTGGAGTGGGTTGCCATTTCCTCCTCCAGGGGATCTTCCCGATCCAGGGATTGAACCTGAGTCTCCTGCATCTCTTGCACTGGCAAGTGAATTCTTTACCATGAGTGCCAATTTAGCTAATTAGTGAAAAAAGAAGGCACAGCTAAGATATTTTCTATACTCTTTCATCCAAAAAACAAATTGCTTCTGTAACTTTGTGGATATAGGTAGCCTAATGTGATTGTGCCCGTCAAACAGAGGCAGGGCTGAATATTGTGTGCACACATATATCACACAATATACATGTAGGTGTTACATAAGGATTGTGACACTTTTTTTTTTTTTTTGCATATCTGGCAATACTTAAACCAGGTGATCTTCCTATCTAACATGGACCCTGTCTCCCCCTCCCCCCATTTTATTTTTCTATCCCCTCACCATAATTTATAGCCCATATCTCTACTGGATATTTTAAAAATATATTTATGCATTTTTCTGTTTATCGTCAGTCTCCCCCATTGAGACACATAAGGGCTAAGGTTTTGTTTTGCTCACTGTGGCTTGGTTTAAGCACAGAGGCATGGTAAGTGCTCAATTACTTATTGACTAAATGTCTATTTGTAGAACCCAGCAGGTCCATAAGAAGGGTGTGTTCAATGAGTGTGTGCTTGGATGAACAAACAAGCAGGCAGGTATTTAAGACTAGTAGGTAAGAAAGTGGAAGTCAAGCACCAAACTTTTTTGAAAAGCCAGATAGAGTAGGACACCCATGTCTACCTGTCGTGGGTTTTTGTAAGATGACTTCTTCCCCGCAGTGCCCTTGGGGGAAGAGTCCCCGGTGAGTTGATCAAGATCTCTAGGCACCGAGCCTCACCTGGTCCCACCCCCAGCCCAGCTCCACAACCCTCAGGGCTGGGGTAGGAAAGGGGAAGGGCCAGCAGAGACAGTATGTTCTCTTGCTTTGTCAACAACCGGCACTTTTAGGATAGCGTCCTCTTTACCGAGCATGAGACTCTAGGCATAATTCTAGCTCCTTCTCAGAAAATGTTGGAGTTAAATAATGTTCTGGCAAAAGACCCATGACTGGGGGAAAAGAGAAATCCAAACAGGACTGGAATAAGAGTGGTTTGTAAAGGGCTTGGTGGAATCACTCTGACTTTGGAGTCAGACAGGCCTGGCTTTGAATCTCAAGTTGTCATGTCTACATTTCTGCCTTTGATCAAATTTTTAAATGATCCTTTATCCTTCTGTCTCATCTGTGAAATGGGATAATAGTACTCCCTAAGAAGTTTGGTTGAAGATGAGAGCACAAGATATATATTAAATTTCAAAGAATCACAGCTGTTGAGGGGGAAGAAAGCAGATGGAAGAGGAAGGCAGGAGAGAGGAAAAGGAAAGATGTGCAGAAAATGAAGATAAAATTGATCATCATGGGGCAATGGAAAAGGGTCCCCTTTGTTCAGGGCCTGTGGGGCATGGGGTCTTGCTATGTCTCATCAAAGAGATATATGATGCCTGCTTATGCTCATGTTTCATCAGGGAGATTAGTGAGAAGGTAGTGGGCTCCTATGAAACAAGATATATGTGAAAATCAGGAACACATAGGAAATATATATATATAAACATGAAGCTGCCACCAGACCTGGCCACCCGAGGTCTGTTCCTGCTGGAGAAAAAGGAGAGTCTGCTTAGAAGAAGAGGCTCAGAGTCTAGTCCTGGCTTAGGTGGCTTTGGGTAAATGACTGTACTTATCTGAGGTTCAGTTTCCTTGTTAGTAATTGAGGTCGGGGGTACCACCTCCTAGGGGCATGGCAGAAATTTGTGAGGATGCTTTATGTCTTTTAAAGTAGCTATCCCCAAGCATCTGTATACTAGAGTTAACACTTCATTATTTGAATTGCTTTCTTTTATTTCTTCTTTATGTTTCTGCAGATATTTTTAGTTTGAAATTGTGTCTAGTCTGATTTTATTACCCATGAATTTCATTTTGGGATGAAAGGTTGCATTACAAAATATTGGACATGAGAAGGGGGCACTGGGTCTGACAAGGTGATGTCTAGCCCACAGGTCTTAGATGATCGGTCTGGAATTCCAGGATTCCAGGCAACAAGCTCCAGAACTCAGCCCTTCCCCTCTCACTGACCTCTTCCACTGACCCACATCCCCCTGGTTTCCACTTACTGCTCAGGGAAGAGCATGTCTTGGGGGTCCAGCGAGATAAGGTCTTCAGGTGCAAAGCTTTCAGCAAATGTCTCCAGGCTCGAGTCATCTCTCCCAGTCAGGAAGCAAGTCCCCACAGAAGCAGGTCGGAGCAAGGACTCCGCGGTGCACTGACCAGCTGGACTTTGAGATCTGGAAGGAAGGGGAGGAGCTCCAGAGGGGAGTCATGGAGGGGTTACTGCCTTCACTTCCGGGGGCGGCCGAGCTTCCGTGGAGAGCAACAATGCCTCAAAGGGAGAGAAAGGGCAAAGGAAAGAGGGAGAAGAAAGGAGAGAGGGAGGAAGAGAGGAAAGAGAAGGCAGGTAGGCAAAGCGAAAGTCTTCTGGATGTTTTTTAATTGAAGGATAATCTCTTGACAATATTGTATTGGTTTCTGCCATACATCAACATGAATCAGCCATAGGTACACATATGTCCCCTCCATCTGGAACCTCCCTCCCACCTCCCACAGCATCCTACCCCTCTGGTTCTCCTGGACCATTTTGTTAGTTTTGTGTCCCATGAGGGTCTCATTGGATGAACGTTTCTCTGCCGAAGGGTGATGATGGGTGTGGGAGAAGGGTCAGGATATAGTTGCAAGGGTCAGAGATTAGAAAGGAAAACTGAAAAAGAGAGAGAAGGAAGATACGCATGAAGTGAACAGGTAAAGACACCGCTGTTGCTGTTGGGGGTCTTAAGGAAGACAGGAGGGACTAATGGGGAAGAGAGTGGCTCATGGGAAAGGAGAGGGGTACCGAATAGCTAGGGAAGGCCCTGGACTGCTGCCTTAGGTATCAGAATAGCGCAAGAAGTTGAGAGCTGAGGAGTTGGGGGCTTTATTTTTACTATGCTTTAATTTCTTAAATTCCCATTTGTCACTCCTGTCTCTCCTGCACCCTTATCCTCCACAAGTAACTATTCTGTGGGTTTAATGTATACCTGTTTCTTGATATGTACTCTCATAAAGGGCTTCCCAGTGACTCAGCAGTAAATAATCCACCAGCAATGTAGGAGACCCTAGTTTGATCCCTGGGTCGGGAAGATCCCCTGGAGAAGGAAACGGCAACCCATTCCAGAATTCGTGTCTGGAGAATCCTATGGACAGAAGAGCCTGGTGAGCTATAGTCCATGCGGTCACAGAGTCGGACACGATTAAGTGACCAAACAACAACAAATTCTTGTAAAATGTGTATTGTTCGGGGTGAATGCGTTTTTAATTTATGTAAATATGTGTACTTTTTTTTTTCTACTCAGAGCCATGCTTTTCAAATCCATCCAGGTTGCTGTGAATAGACCTCATCCAGCAGCTCTGGAGTGGGTGCCCATGTGCCTCTGTAGAGCAGTGCCTACGTGGGCAGAGTGACAGAGGCCACTGGAGCTGGGAGGGTAAGGGGTGTTGGTTTGGAAAGTGAGTCCTGTTGACGGAAGGCAAGAAGAGACAGAAGAAAGAGGCAGACCACTCCACAGCAATAGGTGGCAGATTTAATTAGCAAGGGAACTTACTTATGAGGCTTGTCTTTGGAGAGTAGATCTTTGCACCCCACCCACCGGCATCACAAAATGATTTTTAAAAATAATTTTATTTATTTAATTTCTGTTTGGCTGTGCTGGGTCTTTGTTGCTGCATGGACTTTCCTCTAGTTGCGGCAAGCAGGGGCTACTCTCTAGTTGCGGTGCACAGGCTTCTCATTGCAGTGGCTTTTCTTGTTGGGGAGCACAGGCTCTAGGGTGCTCAGGCTTCAGTAGCTGTAGCAAGTGAGCTCAGTAGTTGTGGTTCTCAGGCTCTAGAGCACAGGCTCAATAGTCATGGTGCACAGGTTTAGTTGCTCTGTGCATGCGGCATCTTCCCAGAACAGGGATTGAACCCGTGTCTCCTGCATTGGCAGGTGGATTCTTTAGCACAGTCACCAGGGAAGCCCCTTAAAATTTTATACAGATGCCTTAAGTGAGGTCAGTCAGGTACACTGTCCAGTAATGTACACGTTACTCTCTCAAGCCTGCATCCTTGGACCAGTTCCCAGTGTGTGAATGATGGGCAGAACGCACATGCCAACAACAGAGGAGGAGGCGAGGAGCCTCTGAGTGCCTGGATCCAGCTCTTGGCTCAACCAGTGGCTACATCCTCTCCATCTCCTCCTTTAAGAAGGGTGGGGTTGGGGAAATACCATATAGGGTAGACGTCTCGCGTTGCCTTTCACAGAGGACCAACTAGTTTGACCACGTTCTCCACAAACATCTGGGAAACAACCTTTTTATCCCAAATAAAAAGGAGAGGTGAGGAGAGGTAAGAGAGGTGAGGAGAGGTGAGGAGAGAGGTGAGGGCACCAGGTAAGCACAGAAAGTGTTTTAAATTCAATGTAAATTGCCCACTTTTGTGTGGGTTCCCAGCTCTCAGCCCATTCTGCTTTGGGAGCTTGTAGAAGATGATTATCCAGTCTGGCTTGTCAACTACCATGGGACTGACCCATGTCAGTGAGACCAGTGGCAACGCCACCTCTCCCAGGCTGCCTAAGCTGTCACACTGTTGGGCTGGGGTGAGAAAACATTGAGTTCCTGAAATCTAGCGCGAGACCTCAACTCCATTGGGCAGTGATCTATTTTGCTTTTGTGAACACTGCAGACTGTAAGCTCCTTTGATCTGAGATTTTTCCTGGACTTTAAGTTTAAAGATTATTAAGGTGAGAGGTACCCATCTGGGGCTGCCTAGGGTGGAGAAGCAGAACATGGCACATGGAATAATTTCACAGTGAGCACTTGTACCTTCATTATTTAAAAGGAAAAACATTTATTTTGATTACCACAATACAATATATGCTCTCTGTGAAAACAGAAAAAATTTGTTCTCATGTGTGTACCTGTGTATACACAATTTTTTTCATAAACTGCTTATAGCCAACAATATAGCTTTTTGTTAAAAATAAAGATCTGAGTCATCATTCCTAATTCTTTTGAAGTATTCTGTGATATGTTTTGTTTAATTTTGGAAAATTCTTGGCTATTGTTACTTCAGTATTTCTTCCCTGTTCTCTCTTCTTCTGGTGTTTTAATTATCCACATATTACAGCTTTTGAAATTGTCCCAAAGTTCTTGGAGGTTCTGTTATTTCCCCCCCCACTCTATTTTAATCTGGGAAATTTCCCTCATCCATCTTCAGAGTTCACTGATCATTTCCTCAGCTGTGTTCAGTCTACTGATGAGCCAATCAAAGACATTTTTAATTTTTGTTTGTTGTTGTTGTTATGCATTTTTGATTTCTAGCATTTCCTTTCAATTTTTTCTTGCAGTTTATATCTCTCTGCTTCCTTTACCCATCTGATATTACATAATGTCTGCCTTTCCCATTAGGACATTGAACATATTAATCATAATTATTTTAAAATTGTCTGATAACTCCAATATTTGCATCAGAGTCAAGTCTGATTCTGATGTTCAATTTGTCTCTTCAGATTATTTTTTTCCTCTATCATTTTAGCATCCCTGGAAACTTTTAAATGAAAGATGGATGTGATGTATTAGGTCACAGGACCTGAGGTAAATAAGTTTTTACTGTGAGGTTTTATGTTAATCTGGTAGAAGCTGGGATGTGTTTGTTTTCTGTAGCTGTAAGTGCCAGAGGATTCAAATTCCTCTAGTGTCCTTGTTTTGTCCCCTGTGATTTGAGGGCTTCCTTAAGAAATTTTCTTTAAATAGAGCCAGGGCAGCTCTTTCAGCTATTATTATTATTATCTTATTATTATTATTATTATTATTACTGTTATTACATTTCTTGCTCAGTTGTGTCTGACTCTTTACCACCACACGGGCTGTAGCCCTCCAAGATCCCCCAGCCATAGAACTCTCCAGGAAAGGATACTAGAATGGGTAGCCATTCACTTCTCCAGCGGATCTTCCTGACCCAGGGATCAAACCCTGGTCTCCTGCATTGCAAGCAGATTCTTTACTATCTGAGCCACTAGGAAACTGGAGCCCTAAAATCTTATGATTGGATCTCAGTTTTTTAGTGAACCTATGTCTCTGAACTGGGTGATCGTCACAAGTATTTATCTATGAATTTTCAGTAAGTATAAACTAAAAAAAAAACCAAAAACTGCCCTCTACTCCGTTCCCTGGCTTCAGTTTTCCCAGTCTGTTTCCTTGAAGCCCTTACTCCTTTAGACAATGTTCTTTATTTTCTCCCTTAGGTGAGGTAGGAAGCATAGAGGTGGCTGGAACACTTTGCCAGCTGATACAGGGTTCCGGCAAAGTCTGCCCTGGAGAACAGATCTGTGTTAAGGTGAAGTCTCTGTGCATATCTCGTGGTGGTTACTCTTCTCCTTCCCCAGCCAAGGGCTTCCCTGGTGGCTCAGATAGAAAGAATCTGCCCACAGTGTGGGAGACCTGGGTTCAATCCCTGGGTCAGGAAGATCCCCTAGAGAAGGTCATGGCAATCCACTCCAGTATTCCTGCCTGGAGAATCCCGTGGACAGAGGAGCCTGGTGAGATACAGTCCACGAGGTTGCAAAGAGTCAGACACAACTGAGAAACTAACATTTTCACTTTTTCCCCAGCCAAAGGGACCTTCACCATGATAACCTGGTGGTGCGCCTGTACTGTAGATGATGCCCAGAAAATGAAGCATCCTCCTCAAGCTCTGGCAAACAGGGAATTTCTCATCCTCATGCTAGTCCACACTCAGCCTCTAGCAATTTTTCAACATTACTGTTATGTGTTTCTACCAGTTGTGGCTCCAGATTAAGAAGGTCTTGATTGTGACTTTGAAGACTTGCCTGTATTTCTAGATTTCAGAGTGACATTTCTCTCTGCAATCTCACATCTCCGATGGGTTCAAGAAAAGCCATTGGTTTTCAGTTTCTTCTTGTAAAAATGAGAGTGACATCTTCTAAGCCCTTTACATGTTGGAAGTCTCCAGATATTTGACTTAGTGAGTCCCTATAGATGGACAGCTATATTTTCTCCAGCATCCTAGGACATAAAACTTTGTGCACTAGAATAACTGTTTTTTTTTTTTTTTTTTACTTTGGACAAATTCCTGAAGAGAAATTTCTAGGTCAAAATGTATATATATTTTAA